GGTCTACGCTGTGACTGATGTCGACTGAGCAATTCTAGCTTGTGTTACCGCGTCATCCATTGTATTTAGATGAGACTTGATGATATGGGCTCGCAGGTTGGGCAGCAGTCCTCTTATAAATGCCTTTATTCTCTCCTCTTGTGATTGCTTCAACTGACAACACAGTTTCTCTATTTTATTTAGGTATCCTCAACTGCCTCATTAGGCTGTTGTTACCTGTCGGCCAGCTCTGACAATCGCACCCACTGCATTTCTTCTTGTGGCTCATTTTTCTTGGGGAAAGTTTGAGTGCCCCAAAGGTGCCTGTTGTTGCTGTAGGAAAGTCTCTGTACCAGTAACTGACAGAACTAGCAAGGTTGAGGGGAAAATTGCTAACTTGTTGAATGGCAGTGCATGCTTGCTGGAAAGCATATCTCTTGTACCGGTCGATTGATAACTCAAGATCCTCAGAGTTGTACCCGGTAAACTTTGGACGGATGGAATCCATATGTGCTGTACATGCCAAGGTTGATGAAAATTGTTGTTTCAACTTCGATCACGTTATCGTGAAAAACTCAGTGCTGAGAGAGGTTTCTGGATTCTCCACTGAATATAACCCGTGAGGTTATATGGACAAAGGAAGACAGTATGAGATGAAGTTGTACTTGAACTGAAGTGGTTTATTCGATTGCCTGTGATGCTCTCTGTCTAACAAATTCCCAAAGTTTGCAGCGTTTTACAAAGCCCTGTTTTCTTCTCGTTTGTATATTTCATTACATTCTTTTACGCATCCTTCTGAATGACTTGAACTATAACATTCGTGGTCAATGCTGCAACCCAATTCCCACTCTTGGTGACCATACCGTGCGCCAAGTTGAAGGTTTCTTGGCTGTATGCCATGTCAACTATCAGCGTTTGGTAATCCATCGTCTGAAAAAAATATGTAAAAATATGTAGTGGGCATGATATAGTCAAATGCATACGCCGACACAATTAATTTTTACTGGTTTAATAAACGCTTGTATATTTTGCTTGAAACCAGTGTTTTATTTCGTTTCCGGCTAAATAATGGGACAAGATTTCAAACGCTGTATGCAAATATAAATATCCTCAATAGAGGATACCTACAAATGTATATTATATAAAGAATAGAAAACCCAGGGTTCTATAATTACATTAAACAAAATAATACAATTTATACAAGGAATAAAATGGGAAACTAAAGGGGGCACAAAATTCATCCTATTACATTATTGGCTCCTTTCTGAATGTCGTCCGGACATAGAAAAAAAAATCACTATTACGCCTCTCAAATAATTTATGGGTTTTGTGACCCACAACCAACGCATTCATTTGCCAGTACCACCTTCGTAAACTCTATTTTGCGCGTAAGATGTCAATTTATATTCCTTGTATAATGTCAATTATCGCTTCAAGACACATTTCTTTCGTTCGTTCGCATGGCTTGTCTTCCAAAATAGAAAACAGAAAATTCGCTTTTTCTTTCCATTCTGGTACATGAACGATCTGGGCATTGGAGAATCCTAACCGATCTGGGGGTTTGACTTGTCGTCGCCACGTTGTGTGTCTACTGTAGCGGTTACTCCATTATGGCCCTGGTCATGTATGTTGTGCATGATCGGGCGAGAAATTATGATGATCACAAGAGGAAGCAATGAAGAATGCTTCATAGCATATATATAGCATTGTAGACTCTTTCATCAGACCACCAACTGTCACGACATCTGTTTCACCTATTAATGGAGTAAGTGGTTTTTGAATCTCCATTGGCCATTCGTGTATGGACCCTTCTGTGCTTTGATGATGCATTAATGCAGTGGCTTGAATTGTATCAGTTCCTGTGGTGAGAGAGGACCTTCTTCAGGTACCTTTCCAGCATCTTTCTGCATCTTGGCTTGTATTATACAGTTCTACACAAACATGGAATGTAGGCAGTGCCTTGGATCAACCTTCTCCATAATGTATGAATAGGGTTTCCTTTCCGCCCCTTTCTGATCTTGATCCCTCCTTTTTCTATAATCTCATTTAGTTTGTCCCGATACTGTGCTGTTGTCTTCTCAATCTCTCGCCTTTTGTCTGCTAAACATGTGGAATTTGTAAACTGGAAGAGCAGTGATAAAAATTGAAAACAAATCAGTCCTGTCATGAAATACATTTTTGTTTGGTTTACAATAAGCATGCAAGTTTGTATAATTCATAATAAATGTAGATATTGGAAAAGTACGGTAGATCCACATGTATGTACTTCAGCCATTTAATGGTTTTATGTAAGAAATATTTGACAGGACAGTAATTTGTTTTTGGAAAGCAAATTGTAAATAACGTGAGATATTTTTATTCATAAAACAATTTATATATTTTTGTGAAGAAAACCGAATATTCTCACACAGCTACGAACAGGCAGCAGATAAAGAGTAAGGGGGCGGAGGGATTAATGCCCCCCCCCCCTTATTATTTTAAATTTACTGCTACTGCTACAGCTATTTGTTGATACTGTTTGAGTTGACAGATGTGTTAAAGAGTTTGCTGTTTTAAATGTTAATCCCCCCCAAAAAAATTCTGCAAATGCCCGAATGTGTTTTTTTTGTTTAACAAAGGTTAATCATGTGTATAACTGTGTTATACCTATTAGTTATTCACAAATGTAGATGAATGTTCTGCAACATCTTTTTTTGGGGGGGGGGGGGGGAGACGGAGATACAAGTTTGTGAAAATATAATTTTTTCTCTCATAAAATCTGTAATATTTTATTATATTTCATTCTTTGATGTACTGGTACTACCAACCTATTCTCGCCCAGTTTCTGTTGTGGATCCGTCAAATTTGAATGCATTTATAATGCATTCACATTTGTGATGCGATCAAACTAAATGAATCGTTTGAATTCTTATTTGGAGATACAGGCCAAAATAGGACCACTTCTTCACATCACTTCATTGCATCTCTTGGTGTTCCAACTCTCATAAATTTTTAACTAAGGATGGTATCAGCATGCAGTTTTGACAGCAGTATTGCTGAGATTGTGCTCTTTTCAAATCTGTAATAAAAAAATGTTTTGACCAGGGTTGACAAATGACTCATGTAGCTTGATTGCATCACACTTATTTTAGAGAGGGGAGAAGGTATTTCTCTTGTTGTTAATGCCAGTTTGAAATTGCAATGTTCTTCAGTTCACAGGTTAAATATTAAAATTGTATTCCTGAGGTTCAATTAAAGCATACAGTTCATTGATTGTAGAGTGCTGGGGTTTGGGTAGCTTGAGTAATCCAGCTGACATGCTCATCAGTTCACCTGTAATGCTGGAGACAAAACTACGTTGTAAATGTGAGATATGAAAATGTTGATTATTTTGGTGGCTTCTTCAGAAAAACCGTCCAGTGCCACTGCGCTGTCATGCATGGCTAGGCTTTGTGGTGTGGTTATAGACCTTTATCATGCTGCCTTAACTTCAGTCATGTTCCCAGTATTCAAGAACAGTACTGAATGATAATGTTCTTTGTGCAAAAAGGAACCAGACTATTTTTCCTTCCAGCCTCTCTTTGGTTACATTGATTTGAATGAGAAAAAAAAATCAATTGGCTGCAACATGATAATCGTCTATTGTGTGCTTGTGATGATCAGCCAATCATTCTTGATTATTCAAGGAATAATCTGATTGGCTGATCAGCACAAGCACACTATAAAGACATAGCCATGCATGACAGTACCGGCAGCACTGGATTGTTTTTCTGAAGAAGCCACCGAAATCATTAAAATTGTTCATATTTTAGTGACTTTTGTTCTGTTTCAAGTCGATCATTAGCTTCATCAATGAAGGAGTACAAATTAGGAAGTATATGCATGTTTAATGGAATCTGGGTTGGGATAATAGAGGGGAAAGGACCATTTTATCATGTTTATGGAGGCCACTTTTTAGGGTCCCTTACAATCTCACATTTACAACGTAGGTCTGTCTCCAGCGCTACAGGTGAATTCCTAATGAGCATGTCTGCATAGGGTTTGGGTAAGGTAGGGTTTTGGGGAGGCAGTAAAGGACGATCATGATGGAACGCACTGGAATCATTCTTTAAAATGTAAACTGAGGGTCTAAAAAGTATGCAACTCTGTTGTAAAATCGAGCATTGATTTGCATGCAAAGTTCATGCCTCTTTGATTACAAACGTCAGCATTATCCTTGAAGCTTTCACTGGCACAAGCTGTTGTGCATCACATTGCAATTTGAATGGTTTGTATTATAGTTCAACTATTTCCATTTGTCTTCCGTGTCTTAAAGTACATTTACTTCAGTGTTATGTTTTGATAAATGTCCATCAAAAGTTCAGGTTTCATTTCTTGTGTTCTATAATTATTTGTTTTGTACACTTTTGTCTTAAGAGAAGATACAACATTTGCAAACATCAAGAAACAAAATGGTCAAATTTTCACGTATTAACCTTACTGGATGTTAGGGAATGACAGTCTTAGGCATCCTGTAAAAATCATGGCTCCGGTGGTTGTGCCGACATTTTCAAGAAAAATTGTACTTTTCCAACGCTGGTTGGCCGACCAGCATTGGAGAAAACTGGCTTTTTTTCAAAAACTGCTCCTATTTTCTTCATCTTAAAGTTGGGTCAGGGAACCAGAGTTCAAGAACACAATTGGCTTTCTTGGTTTTCTAGCCATCTACAGGCCCAAAATGTGAAACAAGTCAGTTTAACAATATTTGCTACAACATACTGATCTTCTAAATCCATCTATTTCTGAAAATGGCAGCAAAAGCAAATGTTGTACATTCCCTTTAAGATTGCCAAAATTTAATGTTTTATTTTTCTAAATACACCATTTTGTTTATGCCTATATTTCCAGCAATGACTAAAGCCATCGACCTTTAAGCAAATCTGTCAACATCAGCCTGATACCGCAGAAACGTGTTACCATGCATTTAATTGGCAAAAGCTATTTTATTTTAATTTTCTTCCTGACAAGTTCCAATAATAGATAAAATTAACTTTCTACTTGTACAGTGTTGTAGCACCTTGAATGTGATACTTATGGTGGATTATTTGAATTTTGCTCTGACAGAAAAGACATTTACAAGGCTGTGTAGTTTTAACTATTTTATTTTGAACAGGGTGTAATAAATACAGCAAGAAAACCAACAATAAATATTGTAAATACATGTAGCGTTATTCATTGTCTGTAGGAGGTTTATACTAGATGGAAATCGAAACCAAATCTGAATTGATTAGAGCTTAACCCCATGCGCTCGGGAAGTGGTCATCCTCATTGGAATGCAGTTGCCAGCTGTGGTATGCCGTGGCACAGGGCTAGTGGGTAGTTCCACAGCTGCTGCTTTTGTGCAGTCCCGCTACCACACAAAGGCTGTGCAGTCATGCGGGCCACTTGCTCTATGTGTGGAGGAATGTCCCCATTATAACCCGTGCTTAAGGGGTTAAAGGTGATGTTCAACATCTACCAAATTATCATGAAGTGCCTTAATTATCTGTATGTGAATAATAGTCTCAAGCATCCTGTGAAATCATGGCACCTGCTGTCATTTTCAAGAAAAGCAGAATTTTTGTATCTATTCACTAACGATGGCAACCATCAGAAAAATTGGTTACACATCCCTGAATGGGTGCATGCTGGCTAGTCTGGTTCCTTGACCTGACAGTTTGCTGATCTATAAATTGCTGTTTCATCTGAAGTAGGGGCAGGGAACCAGACTGCAAGAACAATTTTTTTCCAGCATCTATGAACACAAAACTTTCAGTGTAACAATTGTTTTGCAATAAAATACTAAAGTACCCCTAATGTACATGTATTCTGGTTTCTCACACCATGACTTGCCGAAAACAAATCTGGTCTGAACATCACAGACATGAAACGATATTTTACCATTTTACCATATACATTTACATACAGTATAAAACAATATATTTTTAAAAGCTATTCCAGAATATAAAGCTCTACTTGATCAGGTCTTTCACAACGGAGTTTATTTATAGGATCAATAATTGATGAACTGATTGTAAAACGTGAAGATCCGCTGTCCACAAAAACACATTTTCAACTCAAACATTATGACCAACAACAAGCATGTAGTGAGCGTAACTTATAAACTGGGGAGGTTTCCTAGCTCTCAGGAAATATAAGGGGTGGGGGTGGGAAATCGGTACCCCCTCCCCCAGAAAAATTTGAAAGCTACGCGCGAACCAGTACAGTACGCCCACGCTGTGTGTCCCGTCCAAGGAGCTCTAAAAAACAATTAAAATGTGCCCTCTTTTGTTGGTGCATGGAGCCCAGCAATTTGAGAATACATTTAGGAACTTTGGTATTCCATTTACTACAAATTTTGACGCCATTTTACAGATCGTAACATTAGTCAGTTGCTGAACAGGGGATTGCGAACCCCCCCCCCCCCCTCTAGATCTGTTTCTGTTAACTCCATCTTAGGTCGTCTGCTAGTACCAGTGAGTCATTCAAAGTCGCAACAGAGCCACAACAAATTCGGCAACATACTTGTAAATATTTCATAACAAACATTAATCAAATTGCAGCGTTTGTCATGTTTGTCAAACTACAACCATTCGCTATACGAAGCCAGTATGATGGTGTAGAAATCTTTGCACTGGGCATTTGGAGAAAACAAATCTCTGAACTTGAATTCTTCTCAGAATTGGAATACATCCTTTTGTCTTGGAATTTAAGTAAAAACATCAGACAAGTCTTTATGCATCTACATTTTGACCTTTTAAGTGACTAGAAGCCTCCAATCCTGAATCTAATAGAATGATAAGCTTTGGCCATCTACTGTTATGATGAAGAATTGTACTTCTTGACAACTTCTGCAATTTTCTGTACATCTTCAGGCCTTGAGCCGCAGCAACCACCGACATAACATGCCCCTAGCTCTATCCATCTGGGCACCATGCTCTCCAAGTCAGGGACTTTGTACTCCCCAAGTTTCCTAGCAGTAAGAAAAAATAGATTAAGTAATAGCATTGCAGGTTCACTGTTGTCTAACAAGTGAGAAAAGTCACAAACTTTCTCAGGGACTCATGACATGGATAAAATCGTTCACATGGATACAATCTTTTACTATTCACTACTCAATTTCTTTTGCATTTTTAGCATTCATTACATGCATCTCAAATCTAAAAACCAGCTGGACTTGGGCTTCATTGATGGCTATACAAGGTTGAAGTCCCAGTCCTGAGAAATATTCAAGGTTTTGCACCAGTACTGTCTTTTACCCAAGGAAATTTTTTTGTATATACAATTTCAGATTTGGCAAACATTTTTATAGTCCTTGATCACAAAATATCTGTCAGGAGGTATGCTGTGCTTGAAAATTGCAACTTAAATCTTCATGAAAAAAAAGCACTAAATACCTTCCATCCAGAAATTCCTTCCTCTTATCTGGGTAGACAACAAACGGCTTGGCACCTATGAAACCCTTGGCACTCTCAAGGAGTGCTGTTACGCTATTTGGATTGCAGCAGTTGCAGCCTACGGCGATGATCTGATCAGAATCAACGACTGCCTTGACGCCGTCAGCAAAAGTCTCACCGTACCAAATGTGCTTGTCATCCTACAACCAATAAAATGAGTTGCCCCAAGTCATGACAAGTCAGGTCACAAGCCAGGTAAGAAGTCTTGTCATAAGTCATGTCATAAGTCATGTCAATTAGTCATGTCCCAATTAGTCACGTCCCAATTAGTCACGTCCCTATTAGTCAGGTCCAAAGTCAAGACTCAAGTCAGGTCCCAAGTCGGGTTCCGAGTCAGGTCCCGAGTCGGGTCCCGAGTCAGGTCCCGAGTCAGGTCCCGAGTCAGGTCCCGAGTCAGGTCCCAAGTCAGGTCTCAAGTCAGGTCCCAAGTCAGATCCCGAGTCGGGTCCCGAGTCAGGTCCCAAGTCAGGTCCCAAGTCAGGTCCCAAGTCAGGTCCGGAGTCAGGTCCCGAGTCAGGTCTCAAATCAGGTCCCAAGTCAGGTCCCAAGTCAGGTCCCGAGTCGGGTCCCGAGTCAGGTCCCGAGACAGGTTCCGAGTCAGGTCCCGAGTCAGGTCCCAAGTCGGGTCCCAAGTCGGGTCCCGAGTCAGGTCCCAAGTCGGGTCCCAAGTCAGGTCCCAAGTCAGGTCCAGGCGTTTTTTTACTAAGGGAATAAATGTGTGCTCGAGAGGTTTTTATCACTCTGTTTAATACCGCTTAGAGTCTGGGTGCTGATAATTACCCGAGCCGGAGCTGATAATTACCCGAGCCGGAGGCGAGGGTTATTATCAGCACCCAGACTATTAAACAGAGTGATAAATACCGACCGAGCACATATTTATTCCCATTCATAAATACCTTATCCGTAAAAAAATCAAATAATTTGTTCACAAAATCCCGATTTTGTTCAACAAGTTCACTTCATGCTTTATGAAACATCCCTCTAGCAAAATAATGGAGTATTCAGCTGGCGATTAAGATGTAAACAACCCTTTTATGGAGATTGATGCCCGCGTAGCATGTTCTGCGCGATGTCACGCAGAACGCACCTGGGGCATTGCGTTTTGAATTTAGAACTATAAAATTCTGACTCGCATGTAGTGTTGCGCATGCCTACGTGAGGATTGTGAACGTTCAACCAATGAAACGGTAAGAGGCACTGGATTTTTAGGAGTCCACATTTTGTTGTGACACTGGAAAAGTGTTTAAGATCAGCTAGCCATGTCTTTATCATCCGTTTAAGACCGGCCACGTGACGGGCTCTCGACCAATAGGAATAGCTAAACTGTCTGAGGTATTTATGAATAGCGGTTCAAAACCACCCACATTATAGGCACTCACCAAATAGGAATGGGTAAATTGTATAAAGTATTTATAAATATGTATTACAGGTGCTAATGGGTTAAAGGTAGAGTAGATCATTTGCAGCTATCCACACACTAACTGACAAAATTATTGTTGAAAGGCTAAAAACTGAAGTCCCTGTTAAATTATTCTTTTTAGCATGCTGTCAGTTGTTTAAACTTTGAGCACTTCTGTTGCACAAATAATATACTCTACCTTTAAAGATATAGTCCATCATTTGTAATTTGTGCATTTTGTTCGTTTGAAGCAACAAAAGTGTTCAAAATCTAATGAAGGATACTGAACAACTAACCTGATGAAGTTTCAGCTCAGCTGCAGTTGTGTATTCCGATAAAAACAGCATTCTGGGATCTCAATTTCAAATCAAAAGTTGCTGAATCATGTTTTGAATTGTTTTGAATTGCAGCTATACGCGATGTCACGAATCATTGCAACCGCGCGCGTATGTGTCATGCCAATGCTTGCGCGCGCTTCGCCGAATAACAAAACGAACTACTAATTTAAATTTCCTACAGTGCATCTCAAGACACACCGTAGGAAAGGCCTTCTTTCGTTGATTACTTCAATATGACAGCGTGCCAAAAAGAACAATTTCACAGGGAGTTTAGTCCCCTTACTATCTTTCAACCAAGTATGTTTTTCAACAATAATTACGCCAGTTACTTTTCGGATGGCTGCAAATGATGGACTCTAGCTTTAATACATGAACCAGTGGAAACAAACAGAAGCACTGACCTTGACTGAGTAACTGAGCCATGCCTTGGTCTCAGGAAAGTCCTTGAGTAGTTCCACGAGAGCCTCTGCCTCTACTTGACATGGAATGGTTTCCATGGCAATCAGGTCCAACCCAGATTTCACCATGGCCTCCAGGTGTGGCCTGTGCCATTCTTTCAGTTCCTGACGACCAAGTTGAACAATTGTAATTCAGTTGTAGCCATTTATAAAGATTTTAAAAAAAGGAGAAATAAACAAGAACAAGGAACTGTGAACACTAGGGGCTTGGGAAATGTTTCAGTATTTCTGACCCATTTCTCCTCCCCCCTGCTGGCTGAAATGCTCAGGGAACTGTAATATTTCAAAATGAATGACTTCAAGGTTTTGTTGGACTATTCGAGCTAGACAACTGGTGGTGCAATGCAAGCATGATTTATTTGACCTTTTTAGTGACCTTATCAATGGAGCGCCTAGTAATACAAAATAACACTAGTGATCTTGCATGGAATGGAATGCCTTTGATACGAAGTGAATGGCAATGAGTACTACAGGAGCCATGCAGTTTTGTGATCAGTTACTGGAAAGTCCAGCCCAGTGGAACACTGAGCCTGTGACAGTAACGTACAAGAATATCTACTGATTTCATCAGGAAAAATCAGCACACCAGATTGTGTACCCCAGATGCATGAAAAGACTTGCAGTGGATAGCCATTCTAGATCAACTGAACAGAAGCTTGTGTGCGTTAGGTTGCCTTATTTCACTAGTCCGATCACGCATTTTGAAAGTTGTGTTGCCATGATGATGTGCAAAGCATACAAATACATACCTCTTTTGTTTTCGTATCTGCGTAAACACCGCTGTATTCAGAGCTGTCATGCTGACTGGCACCGTACGGGCCCAGGGAACCAGCTACGATTGGTTTCTGTCTCCCTGAAAGAGAGGACGTCATCATGACATCATTGCTGGTATGTAGCAATCAATTTTTACGGGGGGGGGGGGGGGGGGGGGGGGGGGGGGGGGGGGGGGGGGGGGGGGGGGGCTGGCTGCTTTACATGGTACACATTTAAATGTAGTGTACATTTAAATGCATACATTTTTGTATGCATTTAACACTACTTAGCAACATTTTTTACCAATATGTGACCTACTGAGGCAAAATAAGGAATGTCACCCAAAACCTTGTTTTAGTAATCGACGCCTAAAGTATGATACATACTAGAAAAATCATGTCAAAATCGATATTGATTGTTTGGTATTTTGGAGTGGCCAAGGTATCCAAGATTCACACTATACATTTTTGTTGGGAAACAATACACACAAAAGTGGAAAACTGAAGGAAAAAAAAAGTTCTTCACTGACGTTGGCGGCGCAATGCGTGTCTTTTTTCAAAGCCGCTTTTTCTCGAAATGAGGATAGAAAAACTTGGCAAGACACCATTGAAGTTCCTGTGTCATATCTTTGGAATAAATTAACCCCCGTAAGATCTCGGCCATCAATTGACGAACAATTTTGAAACTCGGTACATGCATAGAGCAACTCTTCATGAACATACCCAAGAAATTTCATGACTATTGGTCAAAAGGTTTTGGAATTATGATTAATTAATTATTCATATACGAATGATAATCCTGGTCTGTGTACACGACTTATATGGGAAAATTCAGTTTTCACGGCGCGTAGCGCCAGAAAATTTTTCGCTGCGCAACAACCCCTGGTCCGATTTTTATATTTTTGGTGTCAAAAGATGTGCAAGGCTCGAGGCTAAAAAGTCATTACACCTCGGGTCGTGGAAATTTTTTTTTAAAGGCTATTGCGGAAAAAGGCTGCCCCCCCGGCCCTTTTAGGGTTAAGCTACAGAAATACATTTGGTATCATTGGAAAGCCAAGGATTTGCGCTTTAATATGATGTACATTTATACCCGAAATGTCAAAGGTGGTGGTTATTCCTCATTATGCTATGGCAGGTCATACATGTATTTAACTGACGAAAAGTGGCACACCTCATAAATTGTCAGTCGCACGAAAATATGACTTAACCCACCCTTGAGGTACCTGGCATGCCCTGAATTTGTGACTGCCCTTGACTGTAACAGTAAGAATTTAATGAGCAGGGGCCGATTTCATGGACAATTCTAAGATGCGTCTTTGGGAGGGGTAACCCCTGTTAACTCATCATTCGTCCCATTATTGATTTAAGAAGCTTAAATGCATGTTCCATGCATCCTGAGTTCTTTAGCAATGCCGTTAAACTTCTAACCAACTTCTGACTTTATGCAAAATATAGTAGGCCTACCCTTTTAGGTCTACACCTATGATCAACTTGTTCAAATAAAATACTCCCGGTTCTTGAAACAGAGTGACAAAATGAGGAGCGAGTTGTTTAGTCATGTGTGTGGGAAATTTAATTAGCAGAGAATTTTTGCACATTTTGCACAAACACTCTGTTTCGTCAAGGGATAATAACAAACATGATACAGCCGCCAAACTGGCAATTTGGATGAATCTGGCTCAAGATGTATTTAGTGCAATTGATCTTAGGATGCATCTAAGCTAGGGTCCATCTTAGAGCAGGGTTCTGGTCTCAATAATAATATGGTGCTTATATAGCGCCTTACACCAAAGATGTCAAAGTGCTTTACAATTATTACCCCTAATAAATGAAAGGTTTGCGGAAACACCATGTGCGAATAATTTCTCAACTAAGAGAATAGTTCTGAAAGGAACTAGAGGTATAAACTGGACATTTCGGTCAGTATGCTCTGACCGTCTTCAGGAGAAAATTGTCAGACGGTCAGAGCACACTGACTGGAACGTCAAGTTTATACATAATTTTTTTTCAGAACCATTCTCTTAGTTGAGAAAATTATTCGCACATGGTGTTTCTGCAAACCTTTCATTTATTAGTATCTCCACCATGCAAAGCCTCAAATCTTACTAATCATTACCCCTGTTCATCAGGCCACAAGAGCACTAGTGTAGCAGCTCAATATCAGCGCATATGGCCCGTACCTTCGCAGGTACCCATTTACAATGTACTCCTGGGTGGAGAAAAGCAATGCGTGACAAAATGCCTTGCCTAAGCTAACGACACATCACCATAACCCCAGACTGGACTTGAACCCACAACCTGCAGCTTTACCTGCAGACCACGAATCCATGCCCTTAACCACGAGGTCACAGCACAAGTCCTGAGATGCTTCGGAAGATAAGATGACTTTTGTGAAATGGAAATGGACAGTTAGATATTTGCTATGTTGCTTCATTCTTACCTACCTGGGTCTTTGTCTTTGTTTTCAGCCCAGAACTCTTCCACGGCTTCTACAGCCACTCTGGTTGCAACTGCAAACAATTCAAGAGCGCCCTCTCTCGACAAGCCAACAGATTCAATGAAGCCCTGAATACTTGCCTAGATATAGTACATCAAAATACAAAATGTACAAGCATTGAAGTCAAAATGATGAGATTCAATATCGACGTGTCCGTGAAACAAGGTCGTATCTCCTTAAATGGGTCATACGTGAAACACGAGTTTCGGAATGTCAAAAAGGGGGTATCTCACTTAAAATAACCCGGATGTACACACACAGCCAATGGACGTCAAGATACGACCTTGTTGCACGGAGCGTATTCATGTGAGATACGTACGACTTTGTTGCGGAATGGACCTTGTTGCACTGACGCGACGATATGCATAGCCAAAATATTTATTACACTTAGCCTCAAAAAAGCTCACTCTCACAGCATCTGGGCGAACGGCCTGGGCATTGTTGTCGTAATGACCACTGATGTGGGTTCAACCCATCTCACTATCCACATACACACTATTACTTTTTTACTAGGCAATTTGCTAAACATAATTTCAGAGGTCCACATGTATGTATGACATGAGTTTAGGTCTCGAGTCTAAATTACACTTATCAACTGATATTATGTTAATTGTAATGCATAGTATACTAAGTGCTTTTTTGAGAGCTTAGGAGACAAAAGTTGGCTCCTGTATTCTGTGATACTTCTGAGTGTTATTATAAGTGCAACTGCATGAGATCTAGATTAGGATATTACCTGATATGTAGCAGTAATAATGATGTCTGATCCACTCTCAAGGAAACTTTAAAAAGAAAAGAAAAGTTGAAATCAATACACATAATGAATACTGAAAGTGCAGCCCTTTAAGGAGCATCTCAAAAGTCGGAACGCTTGGAAAGTTACACCAGGGAACATCACCTGTTCCAATTAGAAACATGCCTTGTTCCTACTGGGAACAGCTAGCCCAGGAATGTCAGGTGGTCCGGCATGGGAACATCGGTCTATGTGCGTTAATGCTTTCTCGGGAATGGCCTGTTCCAGTTGGGAACATGTTGGAAACACAGCGTGTTCCTGATACCTGATGGGCATGATAGGAAAGCGCAGTGTTCCTAAAACTTAAAGAAACATTCCATACAAAAACAGGAACGCTCCGACTTTTGAGACGCTCCCTTGCAATGACACAGATCAGTCAGCGACTGACTTTTCAGGATCAAGCTCTGCCTGAGCTACGACCGTCGGGAACAAACTAGTCGCCGATTAATTTTGTGATACCTGAGTGTAACTGCGACGATATTAAGACGACCGGTATCAGTCAGCGCTCAATAATCAACAGTCACAAGAGTAGAACAATTTTAACTTCTGTGATGTGCTCCCAATAGGCGGGAATCAATCACAGTTGTGTAACCAATCTGTCACATGACTATCTATGTCGTGGCACCGTCGTCCCATCGTGGTAGACATGAGCATGGTTGCGATTATTTTGTGTCGACATGCCGCTTGTTCCACGAGAATCACATGATTTCTCAGTTTTGTGACCTGAGCACTACTTTTCTGCTTGATGCCAATGGTTCCGTCACGGTGCAAGCAAATTGTGTGTCGACCTGAGGCCGGCTTTATTCATGTACAGTCGACTCTCGTTAGTACAAACTCTGTTAATACAAAATTCTGGTTACAACAAACATAAAACCTTGGTCCCGACTGTGCATTTATGTGCACAATGAATGGGACTGATGTTCCTCTTAATACAAAATTCTGATATAACAAACAATTTGGCTAGGTCCTAACGAGTTTGTATTAACGAGACTCGACTGTACATGTATACATCTCATTAAAAGGTATACAGGATTTTTCTTCCAGTCACGTGCCTCCGTAAAATCACAGAAAGGGTGGTGGGGGAAGGGGGCTGGACACCATCTTACTACAGGGTGCGCTGATCCATGCGCATAATTATGGACACTGTTGGAAATAGGTTTCGCTTTTCATCCCTGTACTTTTGTAAACGGACACACAATTTTGCGAACTGGAGGATTTTGCAAATTAGATGTCTGTTTGAAAACAGAACACAGGGCTTTTTCGCATTTTGTAAATGTTTATGCAATGTTTGTCCTTTGCAGTCACTTTTGAGAGTGTTTAATATAGTTAAAAGGCTGTTCACAATGCTTAGAATAATTCCAAAAATAAAGCTTTATCACATGACCTGCGATGACGTCATCTTGAAAACCCTCCTCAATGCACATTTTGTCATTGTGGTCTTGGTTTGAACCAAGTTTACAGTCAATCCGATGAAAGGAAGTGTGCAATTTTGGAAGCAGAATAAAATTATAGGCCCTAATTATTAAAAAAAAATCATAAAACATCAACCGATGACATCATCGTGATGTCACTTCAGACTTTGCAAACTAGTACCATTATCTACCTACCCACCAAGTTTCATGACGATTGGACCTTTTCTTATATGTGTTTTGAAAAATCGCATTTTTGACGATGTCATGATGACGTCACACATTTTTCAAAATTTTATGCAAATACCTATTACCTAACAAACCAAATACAAAAACAATTTGGAATTTTGCATGTTGCGTTAGTGAGGTATGGCTAAAAGGTCCAAAAATTAAAATATTCATATAAAATCGCGTAATGACGTCATCATGACGTCACCTCATTTTTAATCTATAACACATCTCGGTCTACCCACATACCAATTTTCATCCCAATCAGACTTACTGTTCTGCAGATATAGGACTTCAAAATATGCACGTTTGTGATGACGTCACATGACTCCTGATGACGTAATCATGACGTCACTCTGACGTAATCATGACGACGCCATAAGGACAAAGCATATGCTAAATTTGAATGATGTATGACAAAGTTCAATGCCAAAAGTGGCGTGTACTAAAATCGTGCACAAAGTCTATGGGATTTTTTGCACAAAAAGAAGAACCACCCCCCCCCCCCAAAAAAATCAGAACAAAAAGAAAGGCTTTTTCGCAAATTGTGAAAAAGCCAACAACGACAATTAATGGGGTGTTATATCCCCAAAATTTCCCTCTGGTGACATTCACGGGTACATACACATCCCGAAAATTTGAACAGGTCCACATGTTTTACATATCCTTTTCAGAAATCGGCTACCTTTTTTTTTTTACAATTGTGTCCCTCCACCACAAGGTTTTTTTTCTGGCAGAAGATGCTAATGTGTATATATTTGTATCCAAAGTAATATCAACAATATTATTTCATCATCATCATCATCATCTTTGGTCAGCTGCAGCACAAGCGACTGTAAGCCACCTCCAGCTTGTCTTCTCACTTGTGAGGTCAACAGTCTAGCAGGGGTGATCAGACCATTTGGTTGTTCCAGCAGCTTCTCAACGTATTGAAGATAGGATGCTCGCTGACGTCCTGGCCTGTGTCTACCATGAGGTGGGTTGTAGGGTCTAGAGAGCACATGGTCTTGCCGGCTCGTCCTTCAGGCGCCCAGGAACTGTAACTGCCTTGTGCGTGCTTACTCAATCAGTGTTCATTGCAATCAATGAGCACAAGTTTGATGTACACAACATTATAGTGAAAGCATTGATCCTTTCTTCCAATATTTTTCACCAGACAACAGCTCCAACTGGGTATCGATTGTCCATCACCCATTTCATGTACAAATAGAGTGTACTGCAGGGACTAGGGGTACATGTTTGAACAGTGCCCTCTACATAGACACAGATGGCTTCCAGGCAATGTACATGGACATGAATATGCTGAATCTTACAAGGCAAAAAAAGCAATAGCACATACTTATGATATCCAGCATAATCGTTAGGTCACTGTCCCGAGTCTATAAAAAAGTCAATAATTGCCAATTCAGGATAAAGGTGACTGTTTTTTTGTTACCTCTTATGTACTGCCTTGATCACATCTGGACCAGTTATTAGACGCCGAGCACTCCAGAGTTCATCTTCCTGAGAATATGACCAAAAAGGGGGTAAATTCAGCCAAACATTCAGTCACTGTGCATGTTGCACACACTTGATGACTCGATCACCCTGATTGCAGTTATGTTATTTTGTGGGTACATGGCTCAACCTTTTCTTATTAGCAAAATGGTAGCCACCCCATGAAATAAGGTTACTGCATGCATGCGATTACATCAAGTGTGTATGCAACGTTCGTGGTGTCGAAAGGCTGTCGAGTAATAAAAAAAAAACACCTCGACTCTTATTTTATTGAAACTAAACAGGGGCCCTACACTACACAATCACCAAAATTCTAGGCTGTGATAGCGATACGTGGGCATTTGCTTGTAAATTAATAGACATGACGGAAATGGAAAATATCGGCCCAAAAAACGTGACCATAACCTGACCATGGTGACATCCGCATTCTAAGTAGGCCCCTATGGTCAGTAATTCCAGCTTTACTGCCACTGGCGAATCTCCCCAGATCATGAGCTTAGAAGAAAGCTGGAAATGTCAAGCTATCCTGTACTGTGTCTGTGTGTCACCTGTCCTGGTCATTCCCCTAGAACTATATGGGGCTTGGAAAGCCTTCCCATATCTCATCTGACCCAAAGGTGCACAAACCGTTTGAGATTGGTCTGGAAATTTCTGTTTTCTTAGTAAATACTTCAATAGTTTCCCAGCTAAATTTTACTTTTTAGGACATGTTATCACTTTCTGATAGCTGATAGGTCACTGAAGGGAAAAAGTAGTGATGGCCAGATATGGGGATCTTTCCCTGGGGCTCTGCTCGACAAGAGCCCATACTCAGTGTTTCTGGTATGGCATGTATGTATGGTCACTAGTCATCACCACCCTGCACCCTAGCCTTGGTCAATTAAGGCTCTCATTTTTTCCCCCCGTCCGTACGCGGTAATCAATCGGCGGCATATACGCCCTAAACCAATACGCCCAAAACGCACGATCAGCAAATGAGCGTTTCATTTTGCTCTACGCAAACAGCGCAACGTGTGCGCGTCTGCTGCAGATGCTTTTCACCGTGACGTTTTTTGAACCGTCAGACACATGCAAGTTGATTGTGTATCTTCTACTTGCGCATTGCATTAAGAGTACACTTTTAAAATTAAATCCATCTATTTTGATCGTGTTCTAAAAACAAGCACATAAATTCAAATGTCTGTGCCCAGAGCGGCTTCAAAGCGTCTCCACGTGCTAGAATGAGGAATCATCAATTAGCGTTCTAGTAGTAATTTTATATAGCTCTGTGGTGCATTGGTGCCGTGTGCAGAGACACAACGTGTGTGTATGTATTATGTACAGTGCTGTGTTTTACAGCTATTCAAGTTTCCACGCAACGATCAACCAATAAGAAAACGACATTTAAGGTCAGCTTAGGCTATGCACCACCCCAATGGCCCAAAACCCAATAATATGGACGATTGAACCAAGGCTCGATCTCGATCGGGTCCAATTGATTTGCATAAAATAGTGGCCGCATGAGGTCGCTGTTTGCGATGTATTTTTACATGCACTGCATAGCGCGCAAGGATATAGGTAGCATAAAAAGGTTCCAGAGTAGAGCGGGTAATGAATATGCATACATGACCTCATCACAGCCATATTCGTGTCGTCACACTCGCACGAAAAAAAAATGATCATCGGTAATTAAGTGGGGCGACGCTAGTGGGTGGCGGCACGACAGTAGAAAGAGGACTTGTTAAATGCGATGATCATCAGTAAGTGGGGCGACAGTAGAGGGTGGCGGCCCGGCAGTAGAAAGAGGACTTGTTAAATGTGATGATCATCGGTAAGTGGGGTGACACTAGAGGGTGGTGGCGCGACAGTAGAAAGAGGACTCCGCTAAATGCGAATACAAACATTAAGTGGGGCGACAGTACATGCACAGTTTAATTTTATTTCTTTCGGGGGGAGGATGGTCTCACACCGTCCCAACACCCCTATTCGGTTTCCCGAGTCTTTGACGCTCACTGTTGGTCTGGGCTCCCCCCCCCCCCCCGGCCCCCGACCCCCGCCCCTTATAAACCACTGAACAGGGGTTTTGCTCGTTTTTGTCCTAACTGAACTCTGTGCTGGCCGTAAACGATGAACACGATGCATGCAGTACATAGAGTGCATCTATACACGTACCGTGATATATTATTACTCATGAGCTTCTAGTGACGTCATAGTCATGCATATTCATTACTCGCTCTACTCACGAACCTTTTCCTGCTTGCTACCGAGGATATATGCCGCCAGCGTAACTTTTATTTACACCGGCCGATTGCCACATATACATACGAACGAACAAACGACGAGAGCTTTGACCAAGGGCAAGGCTACCGGCATACATGTATGTTCGGTGGCCCACAACTGTCACGGCAAAAGCAAAAGCGCCGCGGCAAGCGCAACAGCACCACGGCAAGCGCAACAGCGCCACGGCAAGCGCAAAAGCGCCACGGCAAAACAAAAAGCGCCGCGGCAAAAGAAAAAGCGCCGCGGCTAAACAAAAAGCGCCGCGGCAAGCGCAAAAGCGCCACGGCAAAACAAAAAGCGCCGCGGCAAGCGCAAAAGCGCCACGGCAAGCGCAAAAGCGCCACGGCGAAAGCAAAAGCGCCACGGGTTTATTGGGAAGGGGCGTAATCATACATGCCGCTACTACATCAAAAAATAAAATGGGAAGGAGAATGGCCGCCACCAGGAATTCTTATAAAGCACAGAATTTAATTCTTTGAAAAGTGATTTTATGGCTGAGAAAATAGCAAGGAAAACCGGTCAGTGAAGCAACGTTCAGGGACTGATAAATCGTCGATATTAATTTGTTGTAGGATGATTCCAAGAGAGTTCCTGCCGTGAATCAGAGTTTATAAAGGAGAGGGAAAGTAGGACTCGCTATATCAGCACCATCAGGGCCGTTCCTCATTTCTTTACATTTCGTGGGATGCAAACAATTACGAGGACGGGAGGCTCTGTGAGCTGATGCATTTTTGAAGACATTTTTTTCCCTTCCGGCTAGCATGCAGAGAAGAGTTCCGTTAATTTGAGCCTTTTTTCACAGGTGTGTATACCAGTGTAGGCATGCAAGTGAGCTGCCCAGAGTGTATGAGTTAAGTTTTTTTTTTCTTTTTCAGTATGTCATACACATCTAGGAAGTCGATTAAGGCTCTCCTGCAGGGCTGCGGCAGTGGGTGGGTAAGGCTTGTCAACACGTAACTCGCCCGCGGGCCCATTAGGTTAGAAATTCCCAGAGGGTGGGAATTTCAAAACTCTTTCCTTGCTATTTTCTCAGCCATAAAATCACTTCTCAATTCATGGTGGCGGCCATACTCCTTTCCATTTAATTTTAGATGTAGTGGCGGCATATATGATTATGCCCCTTCCCAATAAACACGACTGAGTTGAAGATAACTCACAAATCGAGAAATGGATCGTTCTATTAGACAGTTGCAACGCTTTCGACAGAGGAGGTTAGGTCGTGGATTTCATGTAAGGAACGTAACACAGGCGAAGACTTTGGATATAGAATAAGAAAGAAATAAATTAACTTAAAAAGGGGGGGGGGGTAAGGGAGAGACACTAAACAAAGGAGAAGTGTTATCGTTCAGATGCACATGCAGTTCTAAGCTCTTCTATTGACGATTTGGTGGCTCTGAAAAGAGCCGTTTGCTTTGTTTCGAGTGAATACGGAACTATTTGATGCCGGAAACAAGCCCTCTTTCTGCCCTGCAGGCTGATTCTGCGATGATGTGAAAGACTGTCCACAGGGCAACTCATCATCGCTATCGCTAAGCATCATGAGGTCTTGTTCGGCTTGTTAGTTTCTTGAGCCGGGGGTGGGTGGGCCAATGAGTTCTAGGTTCTAAGGTAATTTCTTTCTTTCTTATTCTAACTATATCCAAACTCTGGGCAGCTCAATTGTGTGCCTACACTGGTATACACACCGGTGAACTCATGGGCGTCGCCAGGATTTTTTCTAGAGGGGGCAAAACATATTTTTCCCCAAAAATTCTTGTATTTCTAAACAAATTCTCGATTTCTCAGTTTTAGACGGGGGCAGGGACATTTTGCCCCCCCCCCCCCAACTCATTCAATTTACACCACTATGACTTCGCGCCTCTTTTTCTTTTTTTTTCTCTTTTTTTTCCCTTCCTTTTTTGTGTGCTATTCCGGGGGGGGGGGGGGGGGGGGGGGGGGGAGCGCCCCCTTGCCCCCCTCGCGACGCCCATGGGTGAACTAAGTCTCAAATTAACGGAACTCTTCTCTGCATGCTAGTCGGAAGGAAAATAACTCTTCAAAAAAATGCATCAGCTCACAGAGCCTCCCGTCCTCCCTAACTGTTTGCATCCCACGAAATGTAAAGAAATGAGGAACGGCCCTGATGGTGCCGATAGTGAGTCCCACTCCTTTATAAACTCTGATTCACGGCAGCAACTCTCTTGGAATAATAATTATCCTACAAAGTACAACAAATTAATATCGACGATATATTTCCTGACCGGTTTTCCTTGGCCTTGCTATTTTCTCAGCCATAAAATTACTTCTCAAAGAATTAAATTCTGTGCTTAATAAAAAATTTCTGGTGGCGGCCATTCTCCTTCCCATTTTATTTTTTGATGTAGTAGCGGCATGTATGATTACGCCCCTTCCCAATAAACCCGTGGCGCTTTTGCTTTCGCCGTGGCGCTTTTGCGCTTGCCGCGGCGCTTTTTGTTTTGCCACGGCGCTTTTTCTTTTGCCGCGGCGCTTTTTGTTTAGCTGTGGCGCTTTTTCTTTTGCCGTGGCACTTTCTTTTGCCGCGGCGCTTTTTGTTTTGCCGCGGCGCTTTTTGTTTTGCCGCGGCGCTTTTTCTTTTGCCGCGGCGCTTTTTCTTTTGCCGCGGTGCTGTTGCGCTGGCCGCGGCGCTGTTGCGCTGGCCGACGCGCTGTTGCGCTGGCCGCGGCGCCGTTGCGCTGGCCGCGGCGCCGTTGCGCTGGCCGACGCGCCGTTGCGCTGGCCGCGGCGCCGTTGCGCTGGCCGCGGCGCCGTTGCGCTGGCCGCGGCGCCGTTGCGCTGGCCGCGGCGCCGTTGCGCTGGCCGCGGCGCCGTTGCGCTGGCCGCGGCGCCGTTGCGCTGGCCGCGGCGCCGTTGCGCTGGCCGCGGCGCCTTTGCGCTGGCCGTGGCGCTTTTGCTTTTGCCGTGACAGTTGAGGGCCACCGTACATATGGCACCCACGGCCACACACACTACAGTTACTTAACATACAATGCTGACAAGACCCGTGTATTGAAGCTCACTTCCCAGTCCTCCGTCCAACACTTTCACACTCATTGTTCTCTTAATTCTCCTGGCAACTCCGGGGACCCTCAAAACATGCAAAATATCACTTCTGCAGATCAAAAGTTTCAGACCTCGAAGTATCATCACACACTACGCACTGCATGCACGTGGACTTGGCTCGTGTGGTGTATCCATATTGCGCACATGTGCTCGAGCGCCCTCATGTTTCTTCGCTCAAATACAAGTCACCTGACCGGTCAGGTGATCACCCATAACAACACAATTTTGGAGAAAATGGGAGCGGGACGACTTTTGCCGATTCTTCTCCTTATTTCATCATTTTGTCTGTCCAAAGGGAAAATCCCAATGTATAAACTAGACCCTTGGTGGCCAGGTTTCCCATCAGTTTTCACCGGGCCAGTTTACAGCGCTGCAGTAGATGATCAAAAGGGAGAAATATACGTTTCACAAGTGAGCTTTATTAACATGATTAACCCTGTTATTGTTAACAATATTATTCAATAGTGGATATTTTGCCGGAGGTAATGACGGCAAACTAACGTTTACTAAAGGTTTGCCGGCGGCAATCCATATCAACAGAGGGCGCTGTACTCTTTTAAGATAGGGCTGAATTATAAGATGTATTAAATTCCCACCAAAAGTTGTGAAGCACGTTTGGTGTAGTTCCGTGGTTATGCAAAAAAAGCTCTAGTAAGCGGGATGACTCGGGTTCGATCCCGATCCCCGCCACATTTTAAAGTGTTTTTTTTCCCATCCCCAAATAAATAAGAATACTCTTCTTTTATTATTTCAACATGTCTCAAACATTTTATTGCAGAGTATTACATTTTCTTTTTCCGATTTGTGGCTCTGGAGGATTTTTTTTAAAAGGGAAATAAAGTCCGAAATTATAAAGTGGTCTGAATCCCATCTTGTGAATACGAGGTTACAACGATAATATTGGCATGGAGCCAGACTAAAATTTGTCACCGGAAAATGTTCAAGTAAAAAAAAACAGTAACTGCGCATGTTCAGTGCATATCCGGCAAACTAACATTTACTAAAGGTTTGCTGTCTCCGGCAAAATATACACTGCCTTAATTTAACATAATATTATAATGTCATGCAGTCTTTGTTAAGATTGCGCAAAATTCATAAACTGCGCAAGTAATTTCCCACGCAATCTTAAGAATGGGCGTTCATTATTGGTAGTGGATATTTTGCCGGAGGTAACGCCGGCAAACTAACGTTTACTAAAGGTTTGCCGGCGGCAATCCATATCAACAGAGGGCGCTGTACTCTTTTAAGATAGGGCTGAATTATACAGGGGTGTGAAATCTCAGCTTTTTAGCTGATTTCAGCTTTTTTTGGTTTGGATTTCAGCTTTTTCCCCTCACTTGCTGTGTACAAAAGTATAGGAGATTTCCAAAATTCAGCTTTTTTACACCTTTTTCAGCTGTTTTCAGCTATTTTTATCAGTGGTCACTCACACCCCTGATTATAACATGTATTAAATTCCCACAAAAGTTGTGTAGCACAATTGATGCAGTGGTTAAGCAATGGCTCTAGTGAGTGGGATATCCCAAATTCGAATCCTGATCCCCGCCACAATTTAAAAAAAAAATTTTCCCATCCCCAAATAAATAAGAATATTCTTCTTTTATTATTTGTCTCAAACATTTTTTTGCAGAGTATTACTTTTTCTTTTTCAGATTTGTGGCTCTGGAGGATTTTTTTTAAAGGGAAATAAAGTCCGAAATTATAAAATGGTCTGATTCCCATCTTGTAAATACAAAAATACAACGATAATATTGGCATGGAGCCAGACTAAAATTTGTCACTGGAAAATGTTTAAGTACAAAAAAACAGTAACTGCGCATGTTCAGTGCTTATCCGGCAAACTAACATTTACTGAAGGTTTGCCGTCTCTGGCAAAATATCCACTGCCTTCATTATTAAGAATGCGCAAATTGCAAGAAAGTGCACAACATCCCCAACTTATGCCTTTTTAACATTCGGACATGGTCTGGCGATAGTAGGGTCCAAGCTAATCCAAGCTAGTCCAAGCTAATTGTGTTGCTGAGCAACACAATTCTGTCGTTGACCCCAAAACCCAACATTGCCCAACAAAAACATTAGATTTCAACCTCAAAACAGCCTCAAAATTACTAGATACGCCACCTGAGGTACAAGTAGACATCAATTATTAGATGGTTGTTCTGAAGTTTACTTACGATCCGGATGAAAAGTTAATTTTCCTATGGATGCTGAAAATTAAGAATTGCAATTTTTTTGTTTCGTTGAATGACTCAATCACAGTTCTTTTTTTTTTCTTCATCACCCTTAGCGTGGAGTTAATGTTCCTCCAGTCTTGGTCTTCACTGTACACGGAGAATACCTGAGATCATTCCCGTATGACCCTAATGTAATCAATATGGTCCACGGAATGCGGATGTTTCATAATGCAACATCAGGCCAGACTAGTCTCTGGCTTACAGATGTTGGCAATGGTAAGCATTGTTCTCACATGTAAGTTGTATCTTTTCAGAATTCAGTGCTCGGCTCTGTCCTAAGAGCCAACTGTAAGGACAAGGAAAGCGTTTAATCCTACATGTATATTAAAAGATCATACGGTGTCTGTCTGATGTAGGATGTCTGTGTTTCATGTATTTTTGTAAAATGCCTAAGAGTGTACAGAAGCACAAAATGCAACCGTTAATGGAGAGGTATGCAGGTCTTATGCTAGGATTTCACTGTCATCTGAAGTCAAGGTTGGCATGTGAAACAAATAATTTCTTCATCTAGTTTTGCTTGTTTCGCAAATTTGTTTCTTGCAGACTTTGAATACTTAAACATTACAACATGATTTCTATAAAAACACTCCAAAACATATCGCTTTTATGCAAAAACGTAAACGTCCATGATGAAAAAGTTGGCAAAATTGCTGAACCAAGGTTTACCACACCTTGGGGTCAACATGCAAATTGAGGTCAAGGTAATTGGTATATGACTCCACCCCAACCTTGTCCCCAGTGCTTACTTTATTTCCAACCTCATTTCCAATACGGGCGATTCCCAATAGTGCGCCTCCAAGAGTTTGCAACGCGTTGGCCAATCACAATGCGCGAAATCAGTCGACCTTTTCCAAACGCGTATTGGGTCGACAGATTTTGCGCATTGTGATTGGCCAACGCGTTGCAAACTCTTGGAGGCGCACTATTGGGAATCGCCCGTATTGTAAGCCCTGGATAGGAAATTTCTTCCTGTATCCTGATTCTAGTAATGGTTTTATATCGTGTATTTAATGTGTTGTTATTTCAATGTGCATTATGTTTTTTCACGATCATTGTAATCAATGCATATAGCAGGTGCTGCATGTAGTGCGGCATCCCACTAGTTCATTAGTTTAGCTTAAAAATATAAAAGGTTTAGTGCAGGATGATTGGGTAACTCAGTTATGGAGGAAGGGATACTTGAAGCTCTGTGCTGCAGATTGGAACCAAATGCACCATTACTGTCTGAAGATTTACCTTTTGATCAAAGTCGATACATTTGTTACTTTTCATTCTTTCTTCTTCATCTCTTGGAGTACTTCGGTGCTAGGTCTGATAAAATGAATAACGTGTTTAGTCAGATTGGTCAACAGATTGGTGGTTCAAGTCCAGCCAGTGAGGTTGCTGTCGTGGCTTTGTTGAGTGCTTGGGGAAGACAGTATGTCACTAATTGATCTTCCTAGTGGAGACCCCTCATGCAGTGTTGCCAAACCTCTTTGTTGATAATCTCCATATTCATTCAGTTAAATACCATTTGCTGTAAATTACTTGCTGTTGAAACCTTCTAAACTATCTTAATGTCATGAAATTTGGTCCAATATTCAAAAACGGTGGCATCATAAAATTAAGGCACAATAGTTCCCAAACCTGGCACACTTAAACAATTAGATCGAAAACATTCTCAAGTGAACATTTAAGAGTTTCAATGTTGACAAATTTTCCAGGCACATCTAACAACACATTCCAAAGATGTTTTCGCTGCGCAGCATTCTGTGGTCCGATTATTATATTTTTGGTATCAAAAGATGCGCAGGGCTCGAGGCTAAAAAGTCATAACAGCTCAGGTCGTGGATTTTTTTTTTTTTCAAGGCTATCACAGAAAAAGTTGAGAGAAGGGGGGGGGGGGCGGATTACCCAACCCTTTTAGGGTTAAGGTTTTTGAACAGGATTGTTTAGAGTTTGATGAAATTTCACTCGCTGTGAATTTTGAGGTAAAACCCACCTTTGCTCTTAAAAGGTACTAGAGGCGAAAAATACAGATGCACCATGTTAGGGGCGGCGCGACGTTAGGGGACATCAACAATACTCCATCGGGAGTCGAGATGGTCTAAAAGAGGTTTTATAGGCCTAATGAACAGGGAAGTCTAAGTGCTCTATGTTCAGGGATGATAGCGTTCTTTGACTGATTTCTCTTTTCTCCCTCTTCATCTTGTTTCTTTTTAAATTTTTTTTGAAGGTACCCTTGGACACACCGTCAAGAGCTTCTCTCCCACAGGCACGGTGGAGCATGTCCTTGGTACAGCAGGCAAGGCTGGCCCTGGATTGGCCCCACTACAGTTTGACCAGGTAGCTGACATTGCTCTGAACAATGACGGCGATATGTTCATTGTTGATGGGGACGGTGGTGTCAATAACAGACTCATCAAACTTCACAGAGGAGGTGAATGGAGTTCTTGAAATACAACCTTAAGTAACCCTAACTCCCCAGCATGATTTACTAGGAACCATACCCATCCTGGCAAATGCCAACACCATAATGGGAAACTGCACACTCATATTTCTGACTTTGATTCTGGAGGTGTGCCAACCCAGTGTAAAACACTGTCAGTTTTGGGATACTGTACCCATCCTTACAGATTCCAACAAAACATACCTTTGGGGTTTGATGGTTTGAGTTCTGTTTGTGTAAATAGACATTTTATGATGCAATCTTGTCCCATCTAACTTTATGTCAGTCTTCAAGTTGACATATAGGCCTTTCTTTTATTTGTAAACATTGGCGCCATTTTGTATGGGCTGCCGTAAGAGCATAAATTGAAGCCGTGGTTGGCAACATATTTTTCCAAAAAAGTCCTCATAACGCGATCAACACATAGTAAAAAGGCATATGTAGGAATTATTTTGTAGCTTTGTTGAAAATGTTGTATTTTCAAGTATCAAATAATATTTTGGTGATCTGTAATAATTCTTCTTCATTTTTGCAGTGTTGGACCTTCCATAGTTTTGCAGGCCGTGGTTGGCAAAAATGCAGTTTGCCAACCAAGCGCAGAAAGGTCTTTTCAAGTGGTGTACATGCCCACAAGAGGGCTCACTATAGACACAACACGGTTCAAAATTGGATTTGGATATAGACCTCTCTATAGTTTTTATTCGTTAAGCGCCATTTTATATGGACTGCCACAGGGGCGTAAATTGAAGCATGTTTGGCAACATATTTTTCCCCAAAAAGTCCTCATAACACCCTCTTTACAAAAAAATTAAAAGCATGTTTAGGAAGTTTTTTCTAGCGGTTGTTGATTATTTTGCATTTTCAACAATCAAATAATATTTGTGTAAACATCAGTGACTATTCTCCATTTTGTGGTGTTGGGCCTTCCATAGTTTTGTAACTCGTGGTTGAAAATGTGCGTCGTAGATAGAAAGAAATGTACATGTAGGTGTTTTGGTTTTTTTTGGCAGGTTTTTTTTTTGGGGGGGGGGGGGAGGGGACAAATTTCATCCTCTGCATAATCAGTGCTAATAACTACATCTTCATTTTACTATCAAAGATTTCAAGCTAGCCTGGCACAAGGGCATGAATGGGACAGCTAGTGGGCAGTTTCACATACCACACAGTGTTGAGCTGGATGGAGTTGGGCGTGTGTGGGTTGCAGACAGAATGAACGGCAGATTACAGGCATTCAGCGAAGATACAGGGGACTTCATCGGAGAATGGACGTTGTGCTTCAAAAATGGGGAACCATACTCAGTCGGGTACTGTGGCATTCTAGATAATGACTGGAGAGATTTATGTGAAGCATGTGTGAGATTCGGAGACTTTATTTTGTGTAATAGTCCCAAAAAGTATGGGTCAGGTTTGCCTACAGGTAAACACAGTGCAAAGTCAAACGTGAAATCTGGCACACATGCGTTTTTCTGGCTACATTTGCACTATAAAAAAAATACCAAAAGAAGTGTTGAACTATTGAGGTTCAAGCCATGTGCTTATATACTTGTGATCAGAAGAACTTAATTATTTTAAAAAAAAAAGCATTCCAAATCTCAGATCAAGGAATTTTAATTTTTTTTTACAACATTTGTGTGCATTTATAGGTGAGCCATTTGTTTTGAAGTTACCCCATGTTAAGCCTGGTTCATACTTCACGCGAATGCGAATGCAAAGCAAACTTGACGTCGCGAAGCATTCACTGCATAATTCGCCCGAGTTGAAACATGCTCAACTTTACGAATTTGCACCGCGAATACTTGCCAGGACTTCACAAATTCGCATTCGCTTTCGCTTTCGCGCTGAGTATGAATCAGGCTTCACTTGTAATTCGTGTGGTTATTGATTTTAACCAACTCCTGAATTTTTATGATTGACTCGGCTAAACTCTGATTATCTTAAAGGTAGAAAATATAATGTGTCATTCGTACATTTTGTTTTGGTTTGAAGCAACAAAAGTGCTCAAAATCTAAATAAGGGTGCTTAACAACCGGATGAACTTTTAGCTCGGTGAATGCTGTATATTCCAAGAAAATAATATTCTAGGACCTTGATTTCACTCAAAAGTTGCTGAGTCATGTTATGAATTGCGCCTGAAATCATCGCTCGGGACACATTTTCATTCAGCTGATTGCAGCTATTTGATGTCACGCACTGAACCAACGATTAGCATCTGTGCGCTTGTGCGCCGTGTCAATGCCTGCACCCACCCATTTACGGCTTCGCCGAATTAAAAACGAACTGCTAATGGACATTTCCAATTAGATGCATCTTTGGAATAGTGACCTTCTTTCATTGTTTCCTTCAAAATGGGAGCATGCCAGGAGCAATAATTTCACAGGGAGTTTAAGTGCCTGATTAAAACAAGTATGCTTTTCAACAGTAATTTGGTCAGTTTCTCTTTGGATGCAAGGACTTCAATGAAAACAATCCATTACACAAATGAACTTGACAGCTTTATTCACAATTGACGTCTGATGTATTGTTCTTTTTTTGTGGCAGGCTGAGTGCAAGCCACACCCACTTTATTGTCACCCAACTTCAAGCCAATCGGATTCTCTTCATTGAATCACCGAGGCAACCAGGGTCGATTGGCAACTGCACTGTGCTAGACAGCATTCAATTAGCAGAAGACATTCAGCCACATCTTGTGGCAGTCAGCCAATCAGAGGGAGCATTCTATGTGGGCGAGCTGGGATCCAAGGCGTGCCAAAAGTTTGTGCCTGTTTCCTGACTGAGCAATGCTTTGGATCAAGTTTTTCATTTTTTTAAAAATTTTTGTACTTTGGTTTGTTTTTTTCTTCATTTTATTTTTTAGTCTCATTCAAACAAATTGGAAAGTTGGTCTATAAATAATATTGTCATTAGAAAAATGACTAGAAATACATGTACATTTGACTTAATTGAAATTATAGTTCAAATTGCTCCATTTACCGCAAGTACATGTAATTGTTCCCATTAAATCTTTCATAATGTGGATTAAACTGCCCTTCTACATGTATTTCAGTTGCCACATTAAAAATATTATTTCAAGGGATTTTATAGTTTGATAGTTTGATATTTTTATAACGAAGGGTTACGGTTTATATTGCCTCCTTGGTGAAACACTTGAGAAAGATCTTGTGGTCATTTTGCCTCTTCTCAAGAGACGGTACTGAAATGTTCTCTTTTTGGATAAGTTTAAAATTTAAGCTTCATGCTTACACCTGGCATGAAAGTAATGTCTTTTGAAATGCATATTTTTCCTTGCATCATGAAATTTGATAATTTGATAGCCTAAGTCATATCTAAAATAAATATACACTTGGTTAAATAAAGAAACTTTTGTAAGAAACCGGCTTGATTGTTTGTTAAAGGTGTTGTTGGGTTTTTTTTGGTTTTTTTTGTGCGTCAAATTGTACACCGGGCTGGGGTGAAACTATGGGAGCGACAAGTTAAAAGGGCAAACTATTTTGCTGCAAAAAGTAAAGATTAAAAGTTGTTTGTTGCTGCATATTCCTCAAATATACGTGCAGTTGTTTTAACTCCCTCCCCCCTTTAACATAATTCGATCTCTTCATGTATATGTTGAGAACATTTGATACACTTTTTACTTCCATTTTGCAAGGAAAGCTTTGTAAAGCTGTGGATTTCTGACGCTTGCTTTAATAATCAACTATGTGAGGGAAACAAGCAGCTGCTCTGACCACGCCGCCACGCCCGCCCGCGTAATTTTTTTCCTAGGAGGGTTAGGGGCAATGTCATGAATAATTCAGTTTTTCCTTTGAATCATTGCAAGACTTAGGTTCTCGTTCTATTTTCCCCTTAATTTAAAATATCTCAGTGATAAATTTGGAGAAGAAAAATAGCTGATGAAAATGAGCAGTGACGACGTGGATTCGAACCAGGGATCTTTGTATCCATAACTCATCTCGCTATCCACTAGGCTACTGTGTGGTAGCTCGACGACAACCGTTCTTTAAAATGCTTTAATGTATTGTAACTAGTTGAGTAACTAACAACAATGCTGTTGATGTCATTGTCCGTTCTCATGGATAAACATGAATTATTCATGACATTGCCCCTAACCCTCCTAGGAATAAAAAGTACGCACCCGTACCCGCCCAGTCAGAAACCAACTTTTTATGAATACCGCCCTCTATTGCTCGAAGGTCAATGACCGTCGCGACATGAGGAAATAGCATTCATTGGCATTGGCGGGAAAAGACGGTACCAAGTCTCGTACGTGTCAAAAGAAGGTTGGTGCTTTTGCTCTTTTACCGCATTTTACCACAAATTGTATATTTAAAAGTGACAATTATGGTTGGATATAGCATCTTAAGGAAAACATGAAAAATGGAATTACAAACATCGATGTATTTAACCGTTGACTTTCAATAATTTACACCATAAAACCGGAAAACTCTGGCTCTTTAGTCTTATGTATGGTAACGGCTAGCTTGAGTGACTCCAGCTGACATGCTCATATTCATTCACAATGTAGCTGTCACGCCCCAACTATCGCATCGGTCCCAACTATAGTTGGGACTGTCCCAACTATAGTGCGGCAGTTGGGTCGGCCCAACTATAGTTAGGACTGGAGTTGCGCCGGATGCTTCATGCTTGATAGATCTTGTTGGATTAAATGTTCCGCGGCGCTGGCACCGTGTATTCGTCGTGCATGCATGCCGCAAGGCTGGCCGGTCACGTGGTACTGCCTAGTTGGATGAGTTGTCCAGCTCCAGCTGCTGGGTTGATTGTCCAGCAACATTTTGCAAAATTCAAAGATTGCCATGGCCGGCCAACTAGTATAGATGGGCCCCACCCATAGCTAATGTCAAAGGTCCCAAGTAAAGTCGGACAGTATGTAACATAGCCCCATAATGTGGCCAGTTTACTGGACTGCCTCCGTAAACATAGGCCACACGTCCACCATCTTGGAATCTGACTCGCCGAAATTTTGAAAGTGATTTCCACATTGCGACTTCAAACCCAGTTCATTTATGCTTTAAAAATACACTTACCCTCTTAATAACAAAATTAGAACCTGCTGCCAGTGTCAGTTGCCCAGTCAAAAGATTCTGACTATTCCTAGGATCAGGAATAGTCAGAATATGTTGGTCTGGGAACCGGACTACCACTGGGCCTGCGGCGTGCGTCCTGCACGCGTGATTGACAGGTGAACGATCTGCGCGAGGGCATTGTTCAGTTGGACCATGGAGATAGCTCCACGGTTGGATCAAGTTGCCAAGAATGGTCCAGAAAATGTCGTAAATTACGCAGCAGCTGGGCAACTGACACTGGCAGCAGGTTCTAATTTTGTTATTAAGAGGGTAAGTGTATTTTTAAAGCATAAATGAACTGGGTTTGAAGTCGCAATGTGGAAATCACTTTCAAAATTTCGGCGAGTCAGATTCCAAGATGGTGGACGTGTGGCCTATGTTTACGGAGGCAGTCCAGTAAACTGGCCACATTATGGGGCTATATGTAACAGAGCTGTAGGGAATGTTTTATAGTCGTCGTACATCAATGTAAACTATAGTTGGGACCGCCAAATAAAAATATTGCGGTGGCCCAACTACAGATGGTCCCCACCCATAGATAATTTCATTGGTCCCAAGTAAAGTCAGATGTGTATTAGAGTTGTAGGGAATGTTTTATAATCGTACAACAATTAAATGTACACTATAGTTGGGACCGCAAAATAAAAAGATTGGAGTGGCCCAACTATAGATTCGCCCCATCAATAACTAATTTCAGTGGTCCCCAGTAAAGTCAGACGTGTATCAGAGCTGAAGGGAACGTTTTACAGTTGTACATCAATGTAAACTATAGTTGGGACACCGCAAAATAAAAAGATCGGAGTGGCCCAACTATAGATGGGCCAGCCCAACAATGGAACTTACAGTTGGGACCGTCCCAACTATAGTTGGGACAGGCCCAACTATAGTTGGGACCGATGCGATAGTTGGGGCGTGACATAGCTACATGTGAATGAATATGAGCATGTCAGCTGGAGTCACTCAAGCTAGTAACAGCCCTCACGCGCACGGCCTAGACTACCATAGATCTAGAAGCCCGCAAAATTGTCTGCAGCACAAAACACTAATAAAGTACAAAAACGTCCATCAAAAAGCAGACATTTCACACAGACCCGCTGCACTACTCCTAGAACTATGAGGCTCCGCGTGAGCGGAGCCTCATAGATCAAGAAGCCCGCAAAATTGCCTGCAGCACAAAACACGTCCATCAAAATGCAGCCATTTCACACAGAACCGCTGCACAGTTTGCCCCTATACTCCGTACTTTATCTCTTGACATACTCACGTATCTTGTGCGGAACTAACATGGGTGGATTCTGTCGGTTTTTCGGCCAAAATGATGAAAAATATGCCCTTTCGGCACTGAGCCAACCTGACACTTGCGAGTTTTTCTCGTAACTTGTAGTATAGGCAAAACATTTTGGAAAATGTTCAATTTTGTCCCCGTTACACACTAATTGCAACTGCAACTCACCCCAAACTTGCCTGGAATAACCATTGCACAGGTCCTTGAAGTAAAAAACGATCCACGATGAAGATTCAGCCTACAATTGCAGTGAAAACAGGAGGAATAACCGCTAACCTGACAACCTTTCAAATTCAGGCATGGCCAGGACCGCAATTGGTTTGTGCACCAAAAAAATTGTGTACAAACTACAATGAATGGCGGTCGATTAACAGGCACAGAGAGCGATCGCTGTCAACTACTCGTTTTTGCCGGCTGCGCTGGCTGTTGGCGCATGACGTCACGCGGAAGCGTAACACCCGACGACTGTTTCATGCACTAATATAAGGCCAAAAAAAAGAATAGTTCTGCTTCCGGTTACCCGACCGACCCTATTTTTAGGCTGCGACCCTAAAAATTTTATCGGCAATTCCAAAAAAAAAAAAAAAAAAAGATTGAATAAATAAAAATAAAAACCTTATGTCTTGTCTGTCTTCACAAAATACCTCTAAACAACCCTTTTGCATCAAAAAATGCTTGTATTTATTGTTTTCTTACTTACATTTGCTATTTTTTCAAAAGAAACCTCCGTTATTTTTACAAATTCGCTGCGCGATTCAACTACTTCGCAATTCGATGTCTATAATCACGTGCGTAATAAGCGCAATGCGGCGACGACTGGTTCCCGCCGCGCCGCGCAGTAGCCAATTATGAAAATGCGGTAACTAGTCTGTGTTCGGCTATGCGATGTTAGCGCTAGCATGGCTATGCAGGCGCAGGCACGTGCTCTGTCAACTGGTCGGAATCGACATCGTAAAAATGCTGAGAAAGACATCGTAAAAATGCCAAGAAAACACTGATGGAGAAAGAACATTTTTGCAAGTTAATTCACAGATTTGATCTAGCTTGTCTGTGTATGTATTTTCCGTGTTCAAGAGTTCATTTTGAGATCGCACTACTCGTATTTGGAGTGATACAATGCAGCGTGTTTCCTGAAATGTTCGACCCGTTGGCCGCGGGCCACACATGTACATGTACAGTGCATCACACACTTCGGAGTTTTGGCCAGCTCCCGTTCTTGACTAGCGTTGTGCCTATGGTGCGAACGACCTGAATTTCCCACAATTTTTTTTACGAATTATCGAACTTAAATATATTGACAATAATTAAGGTAGGTTTTATTCACTTTTTGTGGCCATTTTGTGTATAGCTTTCGTAGTGCAATAGAAATAGTTCAGGCTAAAACTTCGCATATAATTGAATACCCCATTCAATCTGCATACAAAAAAATGGCAAAAAAAAAATTTTTTCCGACCGACCGACCCTATTTTTGAAAGACATGTAATCGGAAGCAGAACTATTTTTTTTTTTGGCCTAAGGTTTACCACTCGCATCACAGCTTTGGTACTGGAACCGCAACCAGTAGTGCATGAAACAGTCATTGGGTGTTACGCTTCCGCGTGACGTCATGCGCCAACAGCCAGCGCAGCCGGCAAAACGAGTAGTTGACAGCGATCGCTCTCTGTGCCTGTTAATCGACCGCCATTCATTGTACACAATTTTTTTTGTGCACAAACCAATTGCGGTCCTGGCCATGCCTGAAAGGTTGTCAGGTTAGCGGTTATTCCTCCTGTTTTCACTGCAATTGTAGGCTGAATCTTCATCGTGGATCGTTTTTTACTTCAAGGACCTGTGTAATGGTTATTCCAGGCAAGTTTGGGGTGAGTTGCAGTTGCAATTAGTGTGTAACGGGGACAAAATTGAACATTTTCCAAAATGTTTTGCCTATACTACAAGTTACGCGAAAAACTCGCTCCAGCCCTAGATGACAACCCAATGATAAAACTCAGGGCTGGGTAACTCCAGCTACGATAACCCCATCGTAGATAGACAAATCAGGTATAGTCGGACTCCCTATTAATATCGCGGCATCCCTATTATTATCACGGCATGGGAAATTTCTCTTTTTGCATTGCCAAAACTCCTTCAAGTGGCAATTTTTTTCAAGTTCACCAATCACCAGTCATTAAGGACTTTTTGCCAAGTTGTATAAAAAGGACGAATATTTTTTTTGGTGTCTTTCGGGACTTTTAACGATTTTTAATAAATAATAAATAACGTTTTCTAAAACTTGCACATTTTCCCTCACCGTGTCTGCTAAAAGGTACCGTCTATATTTTAACATAATTCTTTAATGGTGCTCTGTCCATGGAAGTTCCATTGCCTGTTTCCCATTCTTCAGCTGCAAATGTAAAATGAAGTCGAAGGACGATATTTGCACCGCGAAATCGTAAAAACTTTTACGGGATCAAAATAAGCATAGCGCGTTAACAAAAATAAAACGGCACACCGTGTAAAGTGAATGACGCCCCCAATCACCAATCAGTAGACGTGCCTCAGTGAGTTGTGTTCTCCTTTCGGGGGAAGGGCAAGGTCTTAGAAATCATCCTGCAGATATAATACTAGTTTTTAATCAACTTGAACTTGCAGGGAAAATATCAGACTTTATTCAGGGGGTGTTTTGGTCAAACATTAACCATGAATAAAAAAGTTGAGATCATTATAAAAACCACTTCCCGCATACCGCGATAATAGGGAGTCCACCTCCGTTCGCACACTCCGAGCATGTCTATTTTCACCGGCATCGTACACGGAATAAACCACACCACCGTCGGAATTTTTTATATCAATTTGAAAAGGAAGAGTTATACTACATATAGACAGGACAGTTCAGGAAGGTTAGTGGGGAATTTCTATTCCGAACGAGAAACGTGATAAGTACCGTGATAATATGGCAACCCATCCTACCAACTTAAAGAGGAAGACATCATCTTTTCAGTGTCATATGTGCGTTTGTCATTTTTTGAAGGGGGGAGATTTCATAACCTACCAAAATGTCTTTCCCCAAAACAAGCAGAAATGTCACATCGTCACTGACACCACGAAGTAACACTCTACAGCTCTACCGTGTTAAAGCATTTTTTTTCTTCGATTTTCAGTTTTTTTAATTTTTAAACATTATTCATCAAGGCCTACCATTGCACGAAGTTTCAAAGCTTCAAGAGCTTTACTTTAATAATTACGCTAAGTATCCATGGCAACTTTTGCGCAAAAGTGACAATTTTCGAATTTCGTTTTCATGAAGTAACACTCAAGTTCCATTTTCCATTGCAATGCATGGCGCGCACTCTGCTCATAAGTGAGCAAAAACGTTTTCACAAAGTAACACTCTTCTTGGCCTTGGCCTCGAGGCTTGAGGGCAAAAGCCTTGGCCTTGGCCTTGAGGGTTCAGGGCCTTGCAATTTTGAGTCAAGGCTCTTCAGGACCCATAGATTTTTGCATTTTCCAGATAAATCTGTTCGAAATGTTGCTGTTACCATTTTGATCGTATTACCATGGAGGAGGGAAGCATCCTATAGATTTGTGTGTTGGGCACACTTCTATTTTTGTAGCATCACATTTTGTAACCATTGTAGTAGATTTGCTGCAAAAATATTCCGTACACTTGTGGGGCTAATGTAGGGCCAATGATTTTCCGTTTCAGAAAAGTGCAAATTCCGTTTTCAAAAATCCTGAATTCCGTTTCAGGCTGAAAAATTTTGTTTCACATTTATTCAATACATAAAAAGGCATTTAAACATATACCATGTACACAGTAAATAATTCCAAGACGATAATGAAATAGTCGTTTTGTTGGAGCGCGGGAAAACTGCCCCAAAAAGATTTCTATTTTATCAACGGCCGATCCATGTACAGACATAGTATTTAACTTCACTACAGTCAAGTCGTATACTGCACTGCCATTGCCACACACACAAGAAACATGCAATAGCCGTACAGGCCAATCCCATGAAGTCACACACATCAGCTGGCCGAAGCGAAATTCATGTCCGCCATTTTGTTTTCGGGCTAACGTTAGCGACAAAATAGGATAGTTTACGCATGGAGGAATAAGAACACACGGTAGATTTTGGACCTAAGCACAACATGCATTTCAATAGAGCCAAAGTTAGATGTTATACAAATGGTTGATTGATTGAACAGAGAAAAATAAACCTGCCGCTGGAGCAAAAGAGACCCGCGAGAGCGTGCCGTGAGTGTGATGATTTTCACCGTTGCGCTGACCGACAGCTATGGCATGCTTTGGGACTGTCACTCCCATGACTACGCGTACTATTACTACTACGGTAATGATCTCGTAACATTTATTGCTCTGATCTTGAACGTTTTTGTCCCCCCAAAATCGTGATATAAACACCGCTCATTTGTTGTATGGCTCGTCTGTTCAATCAATCATCAATAATTCGTTTTGTACTCAATAAATTTAACGAAATTATGTTTTTTTATCAATAAAATTGCAGAAATTATTTTCTTCAGATTCAAATTCCGTTTTCCGTTTCGAGGAGCAGATTCCGCGAATTCCGTCCGTTTTCCGCGATCGCGGAAAATCATTGGCCCTACTAATGAGATGATCACTTTAATTGCATATAACTATGGAATAGATCTGATTGGTTGTATATGTCTCCCTGATAAGTGCTAAAGATTTGCATGTATCTGTTTTAGATAATGCTGATATTTCTGACCATGTTGGGCCAGCAAGTAAAAAATTCCCAAATCAGTTTCTTGGATCCCACTTTTGTTACACTTGGGAGAATTGTGTGTCAATATAGAAGTAAATTGTTATTTTGTGTAGTTAAACCATATTGAAGACCTGAACTTATACTTTACTAGATACAGTGCAGTCATAAAACGGTGTAGGCCTATGCGAGCATGTTGATTGCAATTAAAGAAATGTTGTTCTTCGTAACGAGCAATTCGTGATGATAAGGGCGGATCCAGGGGGGCCAAAAGGGGTCATCCCCCCCCCCAAAAAAAACCCCACGAAACCATTTTTTTTTATGTGACGTCATAATAAAGGCAGGCAATGAGTACACCATCATCTTTTCCTCAAAAAACATCGGTTAAAATGGTCAGAAATTGCCTCAAATCGCACCACAGATCATCTCGAATCCAACATTTTTTCGGGGCCCTTAAGCGGGCCCCGAAAAAATATAGCCCATAGCCGTAATTTTTTGACCCACTTTTTTGGGGGGGACCAAAATTTCTCTGCCCTCCCCCCCTCCCAAATTGTGTTCTTGATCCGCCCTTGTGTGATGATGTGTCACTCATGTGACTATAATTAGTTCTATATCAGTGGTCATTTCATAAAACATGGCCTTGGCCTTGAGGGTTAAGCCTTGGCCTCGAGGCTTGAGGGTCAAAGCCTTGGCCTTGAGGGTCAAAGCCTTTGCTTTAACACTGGTATAAATGCACATATATCATGTTCATTATCGTAATGAAAGTCAAGCTCTCTGCGCTGCGCTGCTGTCCATGGATCGTAGCACCGCGACGTGCTGCATAGAGACAAGGTATGGGAAGGGCAACGACATTCTTTCAAGATCGTTTTTGTTTTTTGTGAAATCTAAAATGAGTTTCTAATTAACTAATAAATCATAAAAAACAATTACTACTTGCAATTAATGGACAACAAGCTGATTTCATACCAAAGCGCACACTTTATTTTTTGCTTTCAAATTGGGTTCTTGTTCAGTTGGTTGTGTGCAAAATGCTTTTGTTTATTAATTAGATAGAAGTTATTAATTTGTATAGTCGCACACACTTAATCAGTGTAATGTCAAGAGTAAATTGCTGCACACGTTCACATAAAAACACTGCCCAAATTTGGTGGATTAAAACAACTGTCTCTTTAAGTCAAGGTAGTTTTAAATATTAAAGTTCATTTGCATACATTTACATACATAATTAATACAATATAAGCCAGTTTCAAATAAATATTAGCGGTGGGGTTGTTTATCACTAGAGGAACACACCAGAGCCAAATTTCAGGCCTGGAGCTCATACACACCTCAAGTTACCGGTATGACAATTTTGCATATCAATGAGGTCAAATTTGCATAATTTGGACTCAAAAATTTAAGATTTTCCCTAAAAGTCTGATTTTGTGGTCCTGTATCTCATGAAATGTGTAACCAGTGACTGTGAAACTTCATAGATGACAAAAACCATGAAAACCCTGTAGAATCTTTCAGCTCTGCAAAAATAAAATAAGGAATGCATTAATTTCTAAGTTATTGTCCAGTACATTTAAAAAAAACCAGGAATTTTCCATCGGTGTTTTACTCTAAAAATTGCATGTTCCTCCTTCATAGATTGTACAAAGTGTACAAAGTAGTTTCAAAACCTTCAAATTGCTATAATTTTGAATATATAGTGTCACAAAAGTCGTAATTAATTACTTTTCACAAAATATTTTGTCCAAAAAATAGTCAATATTTGGCACTCTTTCTTTAATCGTAACTCAAAACGGCTAGTTAAAATTCTATCAAGTTGTACATTTTTGAAAAGCACTCAATGAGATCTATCCAACTGTAGCTGTTTTGAAACGAGACCCTTTTACCAGATGTAGTAGGTGATGGCACTAGTTCGTTTTTGTGCAGTAAGTCCCATAGCAAGGCCTGTCAGCGCCATCCCGCATGGCTCTCATGTATCGCAGTCTAAAAGTACCTTAACATGGACAGTTCTGGACAAACTTTATACTGTTGGAAAGCAGATGAATGGGCCAGCCAGCATGCAAATCGGCAGGGCTCTAGACCTGAAACTTTTGGAGAAAACCGCAGATGTAGTAGGTGATGGCACTAGTTTCATTTTTGTGCAGTAAGTCCCAAAGCAAGGCCTGTCAGCGCCATCCCGCATGGCTGTCATGTATCGCAGTCTAAAAGTACCTTAACATGGACAGTTCTGGACAAACTTTATATTGTTGGAAAGCAGATTAATGGGCCAGCCAGCATGCAAATCGGCAGGGCTCTAGACCTGAAACTTTTGGAGAAAACCGCAGATGTAGTAGGTGATGGCACTAGTTTCGTTTTTGTGCAGTAAGTCCCATAGCAAGGCCTGTCAGCGCCAACCCGCATGGCTCTCATGTATCGCAGTCTAAAGGTACCTTAACATGGACGGTTCCGGACAAACTTTATACTGTTGAAAAGGGGATCACCGGGCCAACAAGCATGCAAACGGCAGGGCTCTAGACCTGAAACTTTGGTAATGTCCGGCCTACTCTTAACACTAAAGCTTTGTTTAGTACCTTTGTAATGATTTCTCATGGTTCAATAATTTTCCCATCAGATTTCATCCAAAATGGCTTAACAAGACGAGATGATGCCAACACAAGATGCTGAGAGACAGGGGCAGGTTGCTGATGGAGACTGTGCAGAGACTCAGGACCAAGCACTGGCCTTGAGGAGACCAGGCAATCAGGACCAGACAACAGGTGAGCAATAAACCCTGGCTGTAAGCAAACCGTATGCACGTTGATTCCTGGAGACATTTCACTGTTGACTTGTTCAGCTTTACAGTGTGTACAAAGATAAGAATGCAAACCAACTTTTCAAATTAAGAAATGTGTATTGAAGTGCAAGGGGACTATATATTCACTTTCTTTACTTCTTGACTTCATTGATTTTTACAAATAATGGTTATGACATATATGAGTGCAGTGGTAATTAAGTGTAATTCCATCTGTCACCTCAGGAAAACTATTCTTTACATTGCACAAATGTGAAACATTCACTATTTGTTTTATACACTGCCTGAATAAATCCTTGTCATCTGATCTACCAATCAAAAGGTAGAACACTAATAATTAATGATACACAATCTCTATTTTGGCATCCTCTCCTATTTGCTTATTTCTGGATCAGTTTAATTTATTCCATGTTTGATTGAAATGGGTTTCTGGTGAAGCTTTCAAGATAATAAGTCAAAGTGGGAGCAGGACCTAAATATTGTTGAATCATGAGCATAAACAAGACAAATAGTTTGTCTGTTGTTTGTGTTGTGAAGCATAGGCTGCATCCAAATCAGCTGTCTAGAGCTTGGTCTAGGTCTGCGCCCATTGATGTACAGTGATGTAGTTGCTGCCATTGAATATTAGCCAGTTGGCAACTTACTGCAAATTTGTACAGTTCATCAAAGCAGAGAACCTTGTGTTGCTTTACCAACCATTGGCCTCAACTAAGGATGCGTTACTGCAATGAAATGAAATCGTTTATAAAAAATAATTTCAATAAATACATGCACCTGCATTATGTAGCACACTTGCAAATTGTAAGCATTAACCCTCCTAGTCTTCTTCACTTTGGCTGGTACAGTTATCACCCCTACTTCAAATTTGTTTGCTTTGTGTCAGTTTGGATAACACTTCAAATTACAGCGCAATTGTTGTGTGTGGTGAAGCTTATTTTAGGCAAGAATGTAGATTCTGTCACGCTTCATGGATGTTGACACACAGCTGTGTTTTTGTGAAGTGGCTATTATATTTGTGTGCATGTATATGACACAGTTACTTTTACACTTCATATCCCTTCACTTGAAACTGACTTTCAGGGTTTTAAAGGGTTGACTTCCCACGAGGAGGGCCAATTCCCTAATAAATGATAATGTGCTTGTCTCCTTTTTTGACAATAAACAATTATCCTTCTCGTATTGTTTTGATTGAAGATGATGCACATGCATCACACCACTCTGGTCATCCATCAGTTGACATATCAGAGAATCCACCAAGTACATCACAGCAACCACCAACACCACATGTGGCCTCAGGTGCACAAGGTAATTATCAATGAATGTACCAACTCCAAACCAGATGTAAATGTAGTCATTCCTTACAGACTAGAGAAACACTTGTACAGGGTGAGTAAAAACAAGCGGAACCCAAACCTCAAAAAAATATATTTTATTAAAAAAAATATGTAGCACCAAACATAATAATGACTGGAAAGCCAATTTCGTAAGCTACTTTTAGATGACAAAATTACTGAAATTGCTCACTCTGTTCAAAGAATATCACCATTTAAACGTAATGACTTTCAACCTGTTTCGTCCAAAAAAGCAGTTTATTGTGTATGCTGACTGTTTGAAACAACAAAGAAAATAACACAGAATACTTGTTTCAACAACTGTCAACAACTGCAGGACACAATATCTTTATTAACAACCCTGGTTAGGCAAACAATCTGATAATTTATAAAATCCACTTTTTTTTTAAAGACGGGCCTTTAAAAGGACTTTGTTGAATATTTTAAACTGAGGTTTCATCGCTGGTGATGTTTGAAGACAATTGTGACGACGATTCTTGAAATCACATTTTTGGGCCATTGTGTTTAAATGGTGATTTTTTTTTTAATAGATTGAGCATTTTCAGTAATTTTTTCATCTAAAAGTAGTTAATGAAATAAGCTTTCCAGTCATTATTATTTTTGGTGCTACACATTTTTTTAAATATGAAATTTAATTTTGGGGGTTTATGTTCCGCTTTTTTGACTCACCCTGTAGTTGCTTGTAGTCAATTTATAACCTTGCTGGGGAGCGGAGATACATTTAATTACCACCCTCCCCCTCCCCACCTCACCTGAAGATGTTTTGATACAGCCTGGTGTGGTATGTCATGTACTTATTTATCTATGAGCGGTCAGATTGAAAAAAACAAACATTTGTCTTCCAAGAACAGATGACAAGTAGAGATGGAATCAAGCACATGCATGCATCATTTTGTCGGTCGTTGTTTTAACGATGGTGTTATTCCTGCTTCTGATTGTAGATTCCCCACAACGAACTGGAACCATCGGAACCATCGGCACAATCAGTGGCAGTTACAATCCTGTCATTGTTGGTTCAAATGCCGTTAATATTACTTACAACTTACAAGGTAAATAATAACCTTGTTCGTTAAGATGGAAGTAATTTGATATGAAATGTCAATATCTATATATATATTTTTTCCTTTTTTTTGGGGGGGGGGGGAGACTCAAATCCTCGAGCGAGAGTCACCAATTATCTTTGGTACAACTATAAACCAAGTCAAAATATGGTTGACACAATGGAGGGTGCTTTATATAGCGGTTAAGTCTTGTAATTTTTTGGAATGATTAAGTTTTTAAATAATAACAGGCATTTATATAGCGCTTTTCAACGGGGTATCCCTTTACAATTATTATTACCTTCTCAATTCCCTGGGGAGCATACACGGCCGGTAGGCAGCCATTTTGATGCTCTTGGCCGTAATCAACCTCACACAGTAACTATCTCTGCCCTCACAGGTACCCATCTACTCCTGGGTGGAGTGAAACAATGAGTGACAAAGCGCCTTGCTCAAGGTCACATGCACCATGACCCTATGCTGGCCAGGCAGACCACAAATTCAATGCTCCAGACCACTAGGCTATATATTTGTGCCACATTTGAAAAAGGCTTGACCTAAGTCCCACATTATTTTTGCATTGATCAGGCTTTCAAGTATTTCTATTTTTCCTATTTTTGCCTATTTTTTTTACCTTTCTCCGACTTTTCCTACTTTTTCTAAAAAGTTCCTACTTTTTCCCACTTTTTTATGTCCCACAACTCCGAAAAATGAAATCTCACTGAACATTTTTCATAACGGTGTTACACACTGTCATATGTAAATCACACAATGAAGGGCTTGGGCGCAGTAGTACTGCAACGTACCTCCAAGAGCTTAGTAAGGATGGAGTGCATGTTTCAACACCTTGAAAATATAGACCCCGTTCCCACTTGATCCACCAATTGGGGGATCTGATCCACCTTTTACCAAATTGCCGGATCAGATCCCCCAATTGGTGGATCAGATCCGGCAATTGTGTGAAGTGGGAACGCTAACTGTTATAAGGTGGATCAGGATCAGATCCACCTTTTTTGATCCACCTCTAGACCAGGATACAGATCGGGCAATTGGTGGATCAGATCCGGCAATTGGCAGATCAAGATCAGATGGGAATGCAAAAGGTGGATCTGATCCGGCAATTTGACCTGTCAACATCCTCCCGGCGCAGGAGTGGCGCGAAAATGTTGCGGTTTCATGAACGAAGAAACACGTTTCGGGCATGCAGCTCATGTGAAAATTTCCAACGTACACAACATGCACAATAAACAACTGCTGAACTACGGGCTAGCACCGCGCATGCACGATGCATGCATATCGCATGCATGCAGCGCACGTGGTATATCCTAAAACTACGGTATATACAATTTTCGTTGCGTATTCGTCCATTTTCTAAACCATTTTCATTCGTGAAATTTCACTTATTTTTCCAGCCATAAATGTTTGAAAAGGTGGATCAAGCATAAGTGTAAACGCGACTTGCGGTTTCGTTGCGGTAAGATAACGATCACACCAAAATGCCCGATCTTGATCCACCTTTTCCCAATTCAAGTGGGAACACGGTGATAGTTTACAATGAAGTCGCTGTGAAACTTTTTTACACTGCCAAGTAAGCTCATTTTCACGTTGCCAAACTGGGCCCCTCAGCAGGGGATAAGCTCACTGCAGTTTCATGGTGTTTTTACATGGGTCCAAGGGTCTATTGTTATTCATAACTGCACAGCAGGTCCAGCTTCACTCCACTGAAGGTGTGAAAACCACAGATTAATGGTCTGAGTGATTACGGGATTAGTGTGATTGACAGCTACACTTACTACCCGATGCCCACTGCCCAAGTACACAAAAGCTACAAAGTGTCCTCCTACAAGTATCCAACACCCTGTTTATTGTGATCACCTAATTAAGATTGACAGGCAATGTACCTTTTTATGACGAGGATTAGGCCCCAAAGTTGATAAACTGCTCAACAGATTAACGCAACCACAAAGTTAATGCACTGCATTTTCAAGGTGTTTTTACTTGACCTTAACATGTCCTGGTCATGTGATGATTTTCAGGGCGATTTCACCAGATACTTCGCAATGACATAGTCGTGAAAAAAAACTTCACGGTGAATTCATGTCAAATTATATATTTACTCCAAATTCATGGTGTTGAAATTCATAATTGTGAGTACAGAACATGCCAATCGAGGCTTATGATGCTGTGGACATGGGTGAGTATCAATGAAAACTACTCCTGAAAGCCCACAAAAGTCCTATGTTATCCTGATTTTGTCCTCCAATGTCCTATTTCTGTCCTGTTTTGGTTTCCTTAATTTTGATGTTATTTTTCTTCTCATGTTTTCCTGGATCTGCTTGAAAGCTTGATTTATGCATGAGTGAATGGAATAATGGGTTGTTTGGGGGAAAAAATGAATAATCATGGTTGGTAACATGAGCTGTTGGGCAAAGCAAATTTTGTTGTGGGTTCGTACATTGCGATTGACTTCAACTTATTACTTCAATCGTTGCTTATTTCTGGATAGGGCTGCAAAAATGACTTCTGGTTCTGGTTACCAACTGACACTGATTGTTATGACCCGACCCCAAACAAGTCATTTGTTCAAATGTTATCTTACCGTAACGAAACGGCAAGTCGCGTTCCCACTTATGCTTGATCCACCTTTTTGAACGGAAATTTTGAGTCCGAAAGGTCACTGAATTCGGTATTTAGCTTGCTGAGCGCGCGCTATGTGGGAGTACGAGTGTTGCATGCTAGGACAGGTAAATTTTCAAGCAGCGATATCAAAATTCACCGACATAAATTACGCGAATTCACCGACATAAAATCACGGATCCGTTTAGAGGAGCCATGCATAAATTTAACTGGTGAAATCGAACAGCACCGCTTATTGTGTGATGTCACATTTGCGGGGCAGAAGCCAATGCATCGATAAGGGATTCCCTGGTTCTGAAGCTTCTCATTTGGTAAAAATGGTCACATGATGTACTACAAGGTCATTTTCCAATTTTCTGTCAATACTACAGATTTGTCACCTCAGTTCGTACTGCGTTATTGGCTATATTCTCATCGCATACTCATAAGCTTTTCCATGATTCTGTGCAAAAGTAACGTGTTTTGGTGAGTGCGGACTTTACACTAATGTGCCTATCAATTGTTTCACATGAGCTACATGCCTAAACACGTGTTTCTTCATTCATAAGACCCCAACATTTTCGCGCCACTCGTGCAGCGGGCGGATATTGACAGGTCAAATTGCCGCATCAGATCCACCTTTTGCGTTCCCATTTGATCAGGATCTGCCACTTGCCGGATCTGATCCACCAATTGGGGGATCTGTATCCTGGTCTAGAGGTGGATCAAAAAAGGTGGATCTGATCCTGATCCACCTTATAACAGTTAGCGTTCCCACTTCACACAATTGCCAGATCTCATCCACCAATTGGGGGATCTGATCCGGCAATTTGGCAAAAGGTGGATCAGGTCCCCCAATTGGTGGATCAAGTGGGAACGGGGTCATATGTTGCCGCTCCCACCAAATATTAGACAATAGGCCGTATAGGTTGGTATTAAACTTCATGTAGATTTGACCTTGTGTTGCTTTTAACTGTTGACTTCAACTAGAGATGCGTTACTTTATAAATAGTGCACTCCCAATTAAACAGTGACCCTCCTAGTCTTCTGCACTTTGGCTGATAGAGTGCGCACACCACTTCAAATTCGATTGTGGTAATCTTATCTATGCGTTTGGATAACACTTCAAATCAAAGCACAATTCTTTTATGTTAATCTTAATTAGGACAAGAATGTAGATTCAGTCACTGTTCACTGCTCTCCGCACAGTGCTTTTTGTGTGTGCAGTGAATGTGTGACACAGTTACTTTGACATTTCACATCCCTTCACTTGAAACTGAACTGCAGGGTTCGTGTAAAGGGTTTGTTTATGATTATTGTCTTCCCACTAGGAGGGATGATTCCCAGATAAATGATTATGAGCTTCTATCTCCTTTTCTGGCAATAAACAATTATCCTTCTCATATTTGATTTGATTGAAGGTGGTGCCGGTGCACATGCATCACACCACTCTGGTCATCCATCAGTTGACATATCAGAGAATCCACCAAGTACATCACCTCAACCACCAACACGGCATGTGGCCTCAGGTGCACAAGGTAATTATCAATGAATGTACCAACTCCAAACCAGATGTGAATGTATACATTCTTTACTCACATTGGTATGATGGGAATACAGGGTTTGTTCTAGTTGTTAATGTACAGAATTATTAAAAGCACAGCATCTTTTTGCCTCCAAAGAGTTTGAGAAAGTAAGACTTTTTTCATGAAAATAAATGTATCATCTGTCATTAATAGCCTTGCCCCATTGTGTTCTGACCAATCACAGACTTATAATGACTTATTATGTCTGACATGTATGCATAAAAACCCAACATGCATGCAGGCACCTATGATGCGCGGCTGGAATATGCAGTGTGGCCTTAGAGAGGAGCACATGTTAATTGCCTACGTGCACAGTGGGCGGGGCTTACTGGATCGGTCTATTGCAGAGCTTTTGCTACACTTTGTTGTGTGAGTGATTAGGATTCATGCATCACTGAGCAGGAGGTTATTTCAATCCTGTCACGTTTTTGCCTCCCACACTCACAAAGCAACAAGCTTCAGTGCTTTAACTTTTTGCATATGCAATGAGCCAATATTTTAGCTCAAAATGGCACCTTCTACAGACATTAATTAAGGGGCCACTTTATTGCTTGGATGCCACAATGCATTGCATGGTTAAGTCATTCAACTCTATGGTCATTTCAATATTGTAGGATGCAGCGCCCCCAAAAAGATGAAGCTTGACAGTCCGGCCCAAGATGCTGCTGATTGTTGTGAAGGTGAACTGAAGTCCTACTACAGGGGGAAAGGTAGCTTTGTTAAGGTACTTCCATGGGAGGGTGATGACAGGAAACACATTATGGAAATCTACACAAAGTTACAGTTGATACTCGGTAAGGACAGAGTCATGCTGACATCATATGACAATATATTACAACTTAAGACAAAAGAGGGAGAACTGATCCTAATAGCTGTTTTAACTGGGTTGGCTGGTAGAGGAAAGACCACACTGTTTGACAAAATGGCATATGATTGGGCAGTTGGTTCTAGTCAGGTACTACAGAAGTATAAACTTGTCTTCCTGTTGAAAATGCATGCACTGGAGCAGAGTTCAGATCTTGTTGATGCAGTTTTTGACCAACTGTTGGCTAAAGATACAAGTATTGAAAGAGGTGCCCTGGATATGTTTATCAAGAAGAGTCCTGGAAAAGTCCTTGTTTTACTAGATGGCTTTGATGAGCTCATGACTACCTCCTTGTGTGAATCCTCATTTGGTTCCATTCTGGAGATCCTAAGTGGTAAGGTGTTGAGGGGTTGTACTGTACTTGTAAGCACCCGCCACTCACACATTGACATACTTGTATCAGACAAACTGGTTCAGGAACCATTCACACTTGTTGAGGTCATGGGTTTCAGTCGGAAAGATGTCACCGAGTATGTTAATAAATTTTTCAAGGGTGAACCTGACAAGGCCAAGGGGCTTCGTAAAAAGATTACATCATCATCCCTTCTGTCTGACTTAGCTGCAAGTCCAATGCTTCTTCTTTTGATGTGTGTACTTTGGAAAGAAGACTGCACACTCCCAGAAACAATGTCACGTCTGTATTGTGATGGAGTTTTATACATTTTCAAAAGAAAAGGATTGGACTCAAAAGGTGAAGTACCAAAAGTTATGATTGAAATTGGCAAGGTTGCGTTGCATGGTCTTCTTTCTCCAGATCAGTCACTCTCTTTCAAAGAAAGTGACTTTGAGCCAAGTGTGCTTGAGCTGGCTCTGAAGGCAGGTATTCTGACCAGACAGAGAGTCCGCAAGAGACTACAGACTCACAACAGTTTTCAGTTTATTCACAAGACATTCCAGGAATTCTCTGCTGCTGCTTACTTGCAAAGCTTGTTAGAAGCAGACCCAGAGGAGTTTCAGAAGATTTTGAATGAAATTATGTCAAAGGGTGCAATAAGGTTTGAGTATCTTTTGCATTTTTGTTGTGGTGACAATGAGGCATGTACATATGAGATTCTGAAGGTATTTCAGGTGAGGTGTCAGAAGAAGTTGTCATTCAAATCAAAGATGGGTCAGTTGGCGCTTCATTGTTTCTTTGAAGGTCAATCCAAACGTTTGCCTCCAGAGGAATTCATACAATCATTCATAACAGATGAAATTCGCATTCATAGGCATGACAGGCATTGTCTGAACTCAGTCATATACTTTGTGAAATGTGTTGCTGAACAGACAAAAGGCAGTGGCAACAAATACCTTGCTAAGGTACGCAAATTATATGTACACTTTTGCAAATGGACATGGTTTATTGAGGAGTTGGGTGTTACCATGTGTGCAATGACAAATCTTAATGCTGTAGATTTCAGGGATGTTGAAGATATTGCTAAGTTGCTCAAGGATCTACCCAACTTGGTACGTGAACTGAATCTTTCCGGTAATAACCTGGGTGGTACAGCAGCATTGTGGTGCATGCATTTACAACAGTTCAAGTCCCTCACAAAGCTGGGCTTGGGTATCTGCTCACTGAATGGACAGGACATCAAACATGTTGCTGAGTCACTCAGGGATCTTCCCAACTTGTTTGAATTGAATCTTTTTGGTAATAAGCTGGGTGGTACAGCAGTATTGTGGTGCACTGATTTAAAACAGTTGAAGTCCCTAACAAAGCTGGCCTTGCATGACTGTTCATTGAATGGACAGGATATCAAACATTTTGATCTACCCAACTTGGTTGAATTGAGTCTTTCTGGTAATAACCTTGGTGATGATACAGCAGCAATATGGTGCATGCAGATAAAGCAGTTGAAGTCCCTCACAAAGCTGAAGTTGGTTAACTGCTCATTGAATGGTCAGGACATCAAACATATTGCTGAGTCACTCAGGGATCTACCCAACTTGGTTGAATTGGATCTTTCTCATAATGACCTGGGTGGTACAACAGCATTATGGTGCATGCATTTGAAGCAGTTCAAATCTCTCACAAAGCTGGACTTGCGTGGCTGCTCATTGAATGGACAGGACATCAAACAAGTTGCTCAGTTACTCAGGGATCTACCAGTACCCAACTTGGTTGAATTGGATCTTTCTGGTAATAACCTGGGTGGTACAGCAGCATTATGGTGCATGGAGATAAAGCAGTTGAAGTCCCTCACAAAACTGGTCTTGAATAGCTGCTCATTGAAGGGACAGGACATCAAACATGTTGCTGAGTCCCTGAGGGATCTACCCAACTTGGTTGAATTGAATCTTTCTCATAACGACCTGGGTGGTACAGCAGCATTGTGGTGCATGGAGGTAAAGCAGCTGCTGCACCTGAGGCTGAACCTCGGATACTGTAACCTAACAAAACAAGACAAGAAACATTTATTAAAAAGTAAATGAGTGACCTGAAGAAGAATAGATAGTCATTGACATCCTATCTTAATAGATCCTATGCTGTCTGTCTGTCTGTCCAGAAAGTGACCTTAAATTATGATTAAGGTATTAAGTGTTGTGAAGGAATGCATGTAATTTTATCTGCCTGTTCTTTGCACAATCGAAATAATGCAAAAGTTATTATATGAATAATAAGTTTTGTCATTGCTTTGGTTGTGAATGAAGTTTGTGGTCAAAGAGTTTTTTGGGTTTTTTTTTTCGTTACGAAGTTTGAAGCAAAAATTGTAACAGCAGTTATTTGAGTTAACAGAGATTTCCTCAGTGTGGCTCCTTCATTGGAACCTTTCAGAAATTCTCAAAGATCTTTCTATTAATTAAGCTGCACATCACAGCACATTGACAGCTAAAGACGTGAAGCATAGACACTGTAGGCGTGGCACTGATGGGTATGTAGGACTTCTGCCTCAATTGATCAGATTGCTGAATCTTTTCTTCATTATACACAAGACATAGTGACTCAGCAACATCATGCAAGTCCAGTACACTTCTATCAGTCAACTGTGTTATCTGTGTTGTCACCCATTACAAAGCTGGAAAGGTTACTATCTGGTTGTAAGATTCTGTTCAGCAATCTGCGATTGTTGTCTTGTGAAGCCGTCTATATTATTTGTGAAGGCTTGTTTTCTTTCACGTCTGAGTGGTTCCTACACTTTCTGTTTCCCCTCTTGGGGGGAGGGGGACTGGAGTTCCAACCATCTACCACCCTCTGACTTAACACATTCTGTTGTAAAGTCACCAGCTGTGAGGGGATCTTTCATTGACATTTTCATTTGAGTGTTTATTACACTTTGTGTTTTCCTGCCTATCAGCTGTGAGTGTATCTTTCCTTGAACATGCCTCTGTCTATCTCTGCTGGTTTGTGTTTCCCTGGGGGAGTGAGTCCCAGTCATCTACCACCCTCTGACTGACACATTCTGCCTATCAGCTGTGAGGGGATCTTTCCTTGAACATGCCTCTGTCTGTCTCTGCTGGTTTGTGTTTCCCTGGGGGAGTGAGTCCCAGTCATCTACCACCCTCTGTCTGAACACATTCTGCTTATCAGCTGTGAGGGGATCTTTCCTTGAACGTGCCTCTGTCTATCTCTGCTGGTTTGTGTTTCTCCTAAGGGAGTGAGTCCCAGTCATCTACCACCCTCTGTCCGACCACATTGCGCCTATCAGCTCCACATGTGTCTCTCTGTTTCTGCTGCTGTGTTTCTTTCCTGTACTGCCTCTCATACATTTGAAGATCTTGTACTGACTCCGAGCCAATTCAATCACCCTCATCAACTGAAAGTCAACATTCCTTTGTCCCCTTAATGTCTCCCTGGCCCATACAGAAAGTCCCTTGGCCTTGTCAGGTTTGAACCCTTAGCTGCATCAACTGACTTGAACTGTCTGCTCAGATTAATCATTACAGTCAAATTTGGACCTTCCCACATTGATGGGGAAATATCCAGCACAAAGTGCTGGTTAGTGGTGACATTTTGTGAGTCTCATTGTCAAGTTCTGCGAAAACACTTCTAAAGATCTGCCCAAGCAAATGATTTCTGTATTGGATAGTTTAACTGCACCTTGCACATTGTACAGATGTAACAGTTGTAATTACATGTAGTGTGGTCATTACTCTAAAATATGATGATTGGGGATAACATGTACATGTAGAAATACAACCAGCCATTCTCATTAACTGTAATAATTGTACATTACATGATAAATTGTTTGTAAATATGCAGAGGTAATTTATATTTTTATATTTTTGCTATTTTTGTATCAATTGTTAAATGAATATTGCTGCAAATTGCCTACTGACCTGATTGACCTGCAGTGTACAATCATTTCTGTAAAAATGTCTGAAATACCTGTGTTTGTAAGTACATTGTATTAAAATTCGTCGTCTGTTTCGCAAATGCACTTTTCTTATGAGTTTTACTGTGCTGAACATTATTTAATAATTTGTAATGTATGCAGGGCCCCAATGGAAGTTTTTTACAACTGTTTGGGCACACCCTGGGTATAAAGAAATGGAACAAATAAATAAAAGAAATCAAGTGAGATGGCTTGACTTTTCAATCCTAGTAGGGTCTGTCTCAAATGCAAACAAAACTATGTGAATATTTGATATTGCTCATCTGAAGATTGGGCAAAGTGAGCCAGATTGTTCTATTTTTATAACTTCTATTTTGTATTAATATGTATAGTCTGATGTACATTTTACAGCAGCCAACTTCCCTTGTTTTTGTACCAAGTCATAAGAATCATGAAACTTGCCATCATTGGATCCAGTACAACCCAGATTTGTTATCTTTTTAATATCAATATCTTTTTAATTGTATAGTGTTTACAATGGGTCAGATGTTTGTTATTTCCAGATGAATGTTGCCTTTATTATGCACTGAATGCCCGCATCATTAGCGTAATGCTGACATAGCAGGCTGACATAGTCTAGTGTGGGGTTTTTCTCTTTGTCTTGTGTCACTAACAATTGAGCAAAGGGTTTGAGTTAATGATACACAAGGTTTTCAAGCAAATCAATAGAATTCTTTTCTCAGTCATTTTTGGCTGTCAGTGTAAATCTCTGACTTTAGAAAAGGCTACACCAAGTTAGGACACAACATACATGTACATGTATGTGAAATTGTCTCATGTATTATTGTAAGTTTTCTGTCATATATTCCGCATGAGACAGCCATCACGGATTTGATCCAATCTTTCAAAATGAGGATTGCATTGCTGCTTTGTTTTAGTTGTCACACTTTGAATATTCATAAAGGTTTGGAAATGATAACTCAAAGGATCCTGATGTTTGGCAGTATAATATTGTTTTATTTCTAAAGGTTGTTTGTTACTTCCTTGCTGCAATACTCCAGAAAGATTTTTAGTGGTAATTTTCCTTCATCTCAAAAGACAGTACTGAAACCTCCTCCTTAACTTACTTTGTATTTATAGATAAGTTTCCAGTGAAAGTAAAGCTTCATGATTATTCCTGGTATGAAGTTATAAAAAAATTCAAAATACATTTTTGTTCTTACATCATGTATTTTGGTTTTTGAACTAAGCTTACATCTTTTAAGTTGCATCTAAAATTGATGGGATTGTTGTTGTATGCCGATGTAGTTAAATAAAGACTCTTTGTAACTGATTGCTTGTTTGTTAACAGCTGTGTGGTTTTTTTTTTTGTGTGTGTGTGTCAAGTTCTAAACAGCGCTGGGTGAAACTGTGGGAGAGACAAGTTAAAAGGGGAATTATTTGGTTGAAGAAAAAGATACATTAAAAGTTGCTTGTTGCTGCATATTGCTCAATGTATAGTTTTACTTAATGACCATCCCCCCCTCTTTATTCAATGAGAATTGGGAGGTATAAACATTATTAATATTCCTTTCATTTTGCAGGCAAAAAGTTGTAAAGTGATGTAAAGTGGATTTTTTTAGGCTTGGTTTGATCAGTTAATATAATGTGAGGGAGACAAATCACATAACACCACAATACAGAGGACCCCAAAGCCCAACCTCGACCCCAAAGCCCAACCTCGTCCCCAGTGCTTGCTTTATTTCCAACCGCGTTTCCAATAGTAAACCCTGGATAGAAAACTTTCTTCCTGTATCCTGATTGGATACCGCAATTGGCTAGTAATGGATTTTTATCGTGTACTTGGTGCTATTATTCACAACGTGCAGTACGTGTTTTCGCGATCATTCGTCCACGCCTTCTCGAAAATACTAAATTCCTTTCCAATTTGCTCATATTAATATGAAATATGATACTGCATGTTGTCTCGATAAGATCGTAACAGTTTGATTTCAAAAATCGTGTTTTCATAACTCACGCCGTGCTCGCGCTGCTACGAATTGACTCTGTTTTTACCCCAGACACCGCATACAAAAACAAACGCTAACGTGTAACGCATATCCAGGCACCAGACTGTTCCTTATTTGCATACGTGTGCAAAAATCTTGCACATGCAAATGATCCAATACCAGGGTGAGAGAGCAGGTAGTGGTGGGCGCGTACTGCTCGACACCCTGGGGACGAGGTTGCCCAAAGCCCTCCTGTTTTGACCCCGCCCAGTCCGAAAGTCCGAAACCAACTTTTTTGAATACCGCCCTCTATTGCACCGAGGTCAATGACCAACACCAGGAAATAAATCTGACGGCTCATCATCATCATCAAGCGATCGACAAGATTGGGTCAAGATTCTTGGCTCGCTAAAGAAGGTTGGTAAATTTGTTCTTTTACCACATTTTACTATATTAGTTATATATTTAAAGTGATAATTATGGTTGGGTATCGCATCGTGACAATTTTGATTCTTTTTAAAGATACAATCATTGATTTTTTAGAGGTTTTTCTTTCCAAAAAAAAGGGACCAACTTCCCAACCTCCAACTTCCCAAGACTAGCCTAGCTGGAGTTACCCAGCCCTGAGTTTTATCATTGGGTTGTCTATTAGGGCTGGAGCGAATTTTTCTCGTAACTTGTAGTATAGCCTAGGCAAAATTTTTTGGAAAATGTTCAATTTTGTCCCCGTTACACACTAATTGCAACTGCAACTCACCCCAAACTTGCCTGGAATAACCATTACACAGGTCCTTGAAGTAAAAAACGATCCACGATGAAGATTCAGCCTACAATTGCAGTGAAAACAGGAGGAATAACCGCTAACTTGACAACCTTGCTGGATTGGCCAGGACCGCAATTGGTTTGTGCACAAAAAAAATTGTGTACAATGAATGGCGGTCGATTAACAGGCACAGAGAGCGATCGCTGTCAACTACTCGTTTTCGCCGGCTGCGCTGGCTGTTGGCGCATGACGTCACGCGGAAGCGTAATACCCGATGACTGTTTCATGCACTATTGGTTGCGGTTCCAGTACCAAAGCTGTGATGCAAGTGGTAAACCTTATATTAGTGCATGAAACAGTCATCGGGTGTTACGCTTCCGCGTGACGTCATGCGCCAACAGCCAGCGCAGCCGGCAAAAACGAGTAGTTGACAGCGATCGCTCTCTGTGCCTGTTAATCGACTACGGAAGCTTGAATTGCCTTCCGAGATACCGCCATTCATTGTACACAATTTTTTTTTGTGCACAAACCAATTGCGGTCCTGGCCAATCCAGCAAGGTTGTCAAGTTAGCGGTTATTCCTCCTGTTTTCACTGCAATTGTAGGCTGAATCTTCATCGTGGATCGTTTTTTACTTCAAGGACCTGTGTAATGGTTATTCCAGGCAAGTTTGGGGTGAGTTGCAGTTGCAATTAGTGTGTAACGGGGACAAAATTGAACATTTTCCAAAAAATTTTGCCTAGGCTATACTACAAGTTACGAGAAAAATTCGCTCCAGCCCTAATAGACAACCCAATGATAAAACTCAGGGCTGGGTAACTCCAGCTAAGACTAGCCCCATAAATGTGGCCAATTTACTGGACTACCTCCGTAAATAAAGGCCACACCTCCACCAAGGGTAAAATTTCCGTACTGGATCACTAGCTTGAGTAACTCTAGCCCCATAAATGTGGCCTATTTACTGGACTGCCTCCGTAAACATAGGCCACACATAAGCCACATCCACATGTACAAAAATCGTGTCGACTTTGCCAAATTTTGATTTTCACATTTAGGCTTAGTTTGTAGGATTTTTTTGCTTTAGAAGCATACTCACCCTCTTTATAGGCTAGTCAGAAAGTGCTGCCTTTTTCAGATGTCTAATTTTTGTGAAATTTCATGTTGAAATTTTGATATGCAAACGTGTAAAAATGAATCTGGAAATTTCACGAAAAATATACATCTGAAAAAGGCAGCACTTTCTTCATTTATGGGGCTTACGGAGGCAGTCCAGTAAATAGGCCACATTTATGGGGCTAGAGTAACTCCAACTCCAACAATATTCAATGAAAATGGAGCATGTCAGCTGGAGTTACTCTAGCCCGACTGCGTCTGGCCGTACAGTACTATCGCAAGCTCTGTAGTACGGCCAGACGCCCGATGCTTCCACAGAGACTGAATTTTGTTGGCCGCCGATGTAGCGATTTTGCTACATCTTTCGATCGCGATTATCTTTTCATCCAGGACACAAATTTCCAAAGTTAAGGTTCGTAGTCGTAGAGCAACTCATACCTTTTCGAAAAAACGTTGTTTGGTCTCAATATTTTCATCCATCTGGCCACAAGACGAATTTCAGTCATCAGATTCCACAAATATCGTCCCCCATGCGATCCCCCATGCGATTTCAAAATGGCGGCCGCGCTGTAATGTATGCAATATGCAGGCGCGCCCGCGCAAAGTCATGAATATGCATAACAGTCTGTGACGTATGACCTCGTGTTTTTGGACGTGCGTGCGGCGGGGCCGTACGTCCAAAAACACGAGGTCATACGTCACAGACTGTTTATGCATATTCATGAGTTTGCGCGGGCGCGCCTGCATATTGCATACATTACAGCGCGGCCGCCATTTTGAAATCGCATGGGGGATCGCATGGGGGACGATATTTGTGGAATCTGATGACTGAAATTCGTCTTGTGGCCAGATGGATGAAAATATTGAGACCAAACAACGTTTTTTCGAAAAGGTATGAGTTGCTCTACGACTACGAACCTTAACTTTGGAAATTTGTGTCCTGGATGAAAAGATAATCGGGATCGAAAGATGTAGCAAAATCGCTACATCGGCGGCCAACAAAATTCAGTCTCTGTGGAAGCATCGGGCGTCTGGCCGTACTACAGAGCTTGCGATAGTACTGTACGGCCAGACGCAGTCGGGCTAGAGTTACTCAAGCTACTGGATCACCACTTTTTTTCAATTAATTTTCAAGCGCCAAAAGTTGCATCCTTTATGGTTATTCCCTCTACTTTCCCTCCTCCACTCTCACCCTCTCCTTTCCTTTATTTCTATTTATTGTTTTGTGCAAATATAACTTAGTATAACGCGTAAGCTGTAACGTATTATTGTTTCGACTTTTGAACCCACTTTGGCACTAGCCAAATGCTAGTCAAAACAGCGGCGGACTAGTCAAACTAGCCCGATTGGTGTGTCAAAAATGACGGGCTACGGCAAAGATGAAAAGACAGGAAGAAATATATCATCAGTTACATTAAGAAAGCAAATCTTTGTATTTGAGTGGTCGGGCACAACCCGACCACTCTTTGGATCTGTTACAACTGACATGTACAATTAATCTTCTTTCTTTCTTTCTTTCTTTCTTTCTTTTTTTCCGGACAATACGTTTCCGGGGGTTTTCTCCTAAACGGTATATGGTATGAACTTTCAATATATATCGACCCTCATCTGACGTGGTGCATATTACTCTGACGTCATGATTACGTCATCAGATGTCAAATTACAAGTGATTTTATCTAAAAAAGTGACCAATTACTTTCACTTATAACTCTTGAACTAAACATTCAATGATGTTTGTATTCTGTAATCAGATAGACCATTAATCGCTAAACATTTTTTGTTGTGTACGTAAACTCGCTTGACCTTTACTTCCGGGTCTACCGGAAGGTCAAAGTTAGGTGAATTCAAAATGAAGACGTTAGCCTGAAATCAAAACAAAGCAACATTTCTTCCGAACGGTTCAGGGTATGATCCCAAAACCTTGTGTGAACTTGTACCATATTACGAAGATGTTGCAAATTTTGTTACGTCATCACGACGTCATCAGGTATCAAATTACAAGCGATTTAAGGGCAAATTTTGACAAAATAGTTTGCGTTGTATCTTTTGAACTAAATAGAGTATCATGTTCATTTTTCCGAGAGGTTGTAGACTATGCCGTGAAAAACATTTCGTGTTCCCGGACGCAAAACCATTTGACCTTTACTTCCGGTGTTAAAAATTATCCTCTCCGAACTCTATCAGTATTCACTAACCGTTTTTGACTGATGACGTCATCAAACAAGAAATAACTTTTTGGTGCACATAGATTGTTTACTGAAATTTATCACACCGTTAAAGATATCTTTTTGAAATATTGATTGTACTTGAAGGGATTTAATTTTGTGATCCTTTTTTGTACATATATTCCTAACTTAACTGGGCAGTGTATAATGAAAAGGCTCTCCGCCCGACCACTCTGCGTTTGTAACTAAACAAACACGAAACTCTAGTTAGGTGTTGGGCTTTAGCCCAAAACCTATTGTTTTTGCTAGGGTTTTTAGGGTTTGTTTTTCTTCTATACACATTCCTTCTCCAGAACTGTGTGTCATAAAATGAAAACATATATGAACTTCAATTGTCAATACATGAATGCACAACCTACTGCAGATGTGCTTTTTTGCAATTACGTAATCATGACGTCATCATGGGTCACATGAAGTCACTTCAAAAAATAATAAATTTAATCTTTGAAATTCAATATAAAATCAACCCTGAGAGACCGGAACTTGAATTTTGCGGGAATCGACATGAATCTTGTGCGCGTAAAATCGCGTGACCCTTCCTTCGGTCGAAACCGGAAGTGCCTAATAATTTGAAAGTGGAAAAAGATATGAACTTGCTTTCAACAATATTGGGGTCTGGCTGGATTGACCTTTCCAAAAAAGTAATGGGTGACGCCATGAAGAGTTGGAGCGCCCTCTAGCGGCAGGTTAAAAAACGTCAAAAACGCATTTTCACTTGATATCTATGGCGAAGTTTGCGGTATTCGCTTCAAAATTAGTGTTCATGATGACTTTAATGCAGACAACACCTGTACGCGAAAAAAAAGATTAGGTCATCAGACCGGAAGTTACAATAAAAAGACCTTTAAACCTATTTTGCTAGTTTTACACACCATTTTGGACCTCTGTTGGTAGCCCCTGGGGAGCCCTTATGTAAACCAAACTCCACTCCCTGCTCCACAGTCCCAGCGAGATAATGACTTGTGGTTAAATGAAATACCACCTGTTAGCCACACTGCTTTCTGGAACTATACTTTCTAATGAAATGTGGTTTTATGCTAGCATAACAGTAACAGATCGTTCTCAGCCATTTATTCATGGATTTTCACATTTCAACATATAAAACAAGTTAACATTTCAGGTATGTCATTAATATAATACTTTTGTTGGCCGACAGATTAAATTTAGCAACCAAATATTATGCTTGAAATCTCTCAGGCAGAGTGACCTTCGCTCCTTTTAGGAACCAATTATAGGATAAGTGCTTATAAATATCTTAATCCCTTAGGGCAGGCTCTCCAAAATGGTGTGTTCCAACCCGAGTTGCCTATATGGTTG